TTTGGCTCACTGTTGAGGTGTCACTGCGCAGACTATTTTTTAAAAATGCTTTTCAAATGTTAAATGCATTTCTAAGATAACTCCCAAGATGCTGTAGTTAAAATCTGGAACAATTTGTAATTTTTCACCACACACTATTATATCAGGAAGGCTGTCCATCCTCCTTTTAATTTTAAAACACATACAGAGAGTTTTCTAAACATGTTAAACAACACTGAGTAAACCAATCTGAAATTGTGGACATTGCGACACCTCATTTTTGTGCCACTTTGTGTTCATTTGTTTTACCATGTACAAAAATCACAGTGTCATCTGAATACATTTGAAATATGATAGTGCTGTCAAACGATTAAAATATTTAATCGCGATTAATCACATTAATGTCATAGTTAACTCGCGATTAATCGCACATTTTTATCTATTCTAAATGTCTTTTGATTTCTTTTTTTTTACATTATTTTTTTCTCATTTTAATGCTCTTATCAACATGGAAAAGTGGATTGGCTTGTTTAGTGCAAATGTTTTTTTTTTATTATTATTATTGAAAATAACATTGGAATAGTGCTCAATTTCACACTAACATACAAATAATCTCTCACACAATGTAACACTGTCTATCAATAAAAGGGTGAAAGAAATACTGACGAGGTCCTGATATTGACGAGGGGGTGGATAATTCGCATCATCTGTGTGTGTGTGTGTGTGTGTGTGTTTGTGTGTGTTTGCTTGGCCATCATCAAGTGGTGTTTCAGACTGGACGTGCTGCGATGATGATAGCTCAGTCCACAACGACAAAACACACAGATCACTTGGTCTTGTCAATGGGACAATTTGGCAACTTTTTAAAAGTAAACTTTCCATTCAGAATCTTTGGGCATCCATTTCGGCGTCTCGCGCTCGTCATCCACTCAAAACGTAGCGTTACTATTTGGCCGGCTCGCAAACCGAAACGAGTGTGTGCGCGGCACAAAACGTTCTCGCGCTGCGCTCTGAACCCATTCATTTCAATGGCTTGTGCCGCGCGAGGACGTTTTGTTGCTTCTTCGACCAAAGTGCAAGTGGATCTAGACCGTAAACAAAACAACAGGCACGCCTCAAACACACGTTTCGGCTTGTGAGCCGGCTTTGAGTGGATGACGAGCGCGAGACACCGAAATGGATCAGGACGCATGGCGCGTCCTGTTGCAAAAGCATGTGAAAAAAACGACAAAGTTTGCTAGGACAAAAAGACCGTTAATCGTGCAATAAAAATGGGTTTGCGTTAACGCCGTTAATAACGCGTTAAACTGACAGCCCTAAAATATGCACATCTGGACAAACATCACTCAGGTTAATCAATCAAATACAAACTAAAATGTATGGGCCCTAATACAGACCCCTGAGGTACCCCAGTAAAACAATTTCTCAATCTCTAGCTTTTTATGCACTGTTGAACTGATTCTTAAACGCCTCTGATTGGCCACGGCAGTAAATGTATGTGGGGTAGTGAATGAACTCTCTTCTACTCTCTTTCACCATCTTCTCTGAGTGTGTGCGTTTGTGTGTGTGCACTTGGATGGGTGAAACTCAGAGCACAAATTCCGGGTATGGGACACCACCATACTCGGCTACATGTCACGTCATATTGTTTTTAAAATGAACCGATATAGTACATCAGAGAGGATATACCGCTCGGCTCCAGCGTATTCTCAGCCATGCTCATCATGTGATAAGCACACCGAGTGTGGATAACGCAGATGCAGGAAAGCCTGCGGTAATGCTTCATCCTTATGCTTGGAGAGACACTGCAGATTAGCACAGACTCTGGCAACCGGCAGCAACTCGCAAGCTCCACGCCACCCGTCTCAAATCCACCATCCCAGACGCCATAGCGGCACAGCAGGGGAGCGCTTCCCGTTCCCGCCGCCGAAACCTCAGTTCCTCTGCGGACCCCGAGAGCGCAGGCTTAAACAGATCCCACCACTGGATACCAGCTCCGGTTATTTGTCTGCTTCCTCATGACAATGACAGGCTGTAATCCAGAGCTGTCCTGATAGGCGCTGAAGATCAATACTGAGGGGCTTGAATGCTCTCATACTCATGTGTCATCACGTTCCACATCAACACAGCGAGTAAATGAGATTGACACGATGAGACGGGTCTGTTTGCACCTTGAGTGACGGCTGTCACGTAACGCGTGAGATTATGATGACATTATGGTGTCCTCTTCTTGTGGAGTGTCACGACTGCCACTTTTTGAGTGAGTTTAATCAGCTGTGGACAGGAGTGTGTGGGGACAGACTTGACCCCATGTTGCTGGCATTACCCACAATGCACTGCCACTGATGATTACTACCATCGTCCATTAGTCTGAATCTTAACCCACTTGTCTCTGTGTGTATCACCCTACACGGACACATGTAACTGTCTGTGAATGCACTGATGATATGGTGTCAGAAGGGTCTTAGTGAACCAGGAGCTCTTTAGACATTTTTTAGATGAAAACCCAATTACAAATTAGATGAATTAGGAGTGCGTGACTAAAAGGAAAACAATATTTAGTTGATAACGGTAATTCAACTCTATTTTGAGTTTCTGTATTGTTTTTTTTGGATAGTTTAGGCCTATCATGGACAGATGACTCATATTCCTCATTTTCTTTTCTTACCTTATTAGATCATGTACGTATAATCTACTGTAATAATTATGTGTCAAGATCATACATTTTAATCAATAATTTCAATTAAAGGTACTCTATGGAGTTTTTAGCGGCCTCTAGCGGTGATGTTTCAGAATGCAACAAAAGCGAGCTTTTGCTTGTGTGTGTGCTAGATCTCAAGAGCGAGTTTTCACAACGCATTCTCATCCTTTTGCGTCATATAGAATGCTATATGGCAAAACGGCATTATACTACGCACATGGCACCCGTTATCGTTAATATAACACGCACTGTGATGGGTAAGTTTAGGTGTGGGGTAGGGTAGTCTCATATTACGCTAAAGGATTTATGACGACTTGGGTTCGCATGAATATTAACGATAAAGGGTGCCATGTGCGTATTATAGCGCCGTTTTGTCATATAGCATTCTATGTGATGCTAAAGGATGAGAACGGGCTGGTATTCACTACCGGCCACACGGAGACTTTCAACGCAACGGCGAAAGCATCACTCAACATGCTGGAAACTAATGTAAACTCCCAAAGCAGTTACAAAAATAGCCTACTTTTGTCAGCCTGACGTTGAACTAATGCTCTGTGCTCGTACCATGATAATGTTACAATAAACTGCGTTTAGCCGACATGTGATCTATTCGTGTATCTTTCACAATCAGCAATGTCAAGATAGGTGAATGTTAGGGTTGGGTATCGTTTGAATTTGAACGATTCTGATTCCGATTGCGATTCCTTGTTTCGATTCCGGTTCCTAACGATTCTCGATTCTGATTCTTTTAAGAGGCAGGGTCAAAATTTTTTAGCTAACCTTGCTAACCAACGGCCTTTCTGAAGGAAATACTCCTTCTGTAAAAATACTCCTTTTGTCACAAATTTAGCATTTTGCCGAGATTTCGTTATTTTTAGAAAAGTGAAGCCACACTTTGGATCGCCGACGTAAGGTACTCATGTTCGACTCGCGTGGTTATGCCAACACTTCCGGTAGACGCTTCTTCGTTGGTGTTGTTCAGCGGTTTCTTCTTCCGCTCGGCGGACTGTGAATATCGAAACTAGGAATCGAAATTTTAACTTTTGAACGATTCCGGGAAAAACGAAAAGTTAGTCTCGGTTCCAATCGATACTCGATTCTCGATACCCAACCCTAGTGAATGTATAATAATATGATAACGAAAACGGTTAGTGAACTAAACTGAACAGTTTCAGTCTATCAGTAAGATCGTGTCTGGAAATGTGTAAGTTATAAACAATATGATAGTAGTGGGATGAGTGATGTTGTAAGTTACATCCTAAAGCACCGACTTTATATTGTCCTGGGAACATTCTTTTGTTTCCATTTGATGTTTCATGTAGTTTACCTTGCTATTTCACTAGAATTTACTAATATGTTGTTCTAATATGTTGCCGATGTTGATCCGCGTTTTCGTCCGGAGTCGATCAGATTCACGTTTTGCCTGACGAGCTTCAGCAGATAAAACTTTTTTTTTGTTTTTTATATTTTTGTGGAGTTTGTGTTGGAGTCTGTGTTGTGCTGGAGGCAGGACGTTTTGGGGAGTTATCAGACTCCGTGTCGTCAGCTGAAGTGCCGTTGGTCGCATGTTGAAATCAACGGGGTTACTGTGTCCATTTCTTTTACTGTCTATGGGTCGCATAGACTGTAATAAGGATAGAGTGGCTCGGGAAGGCGCATGCACGTCACATCCGAAGGATTTCGCAGGAAATCCGACCCGGAGACTTCACATATAAATATGAATATTGACCTTCAGAGGTAATAGCAAAACCCGAAAAGTGGATCATTGCAATGTGTGATTACAACCCCTTCAAACACAGGCAAAAAAAAAAAAAGGATTAATTTTATAAGAAAAGTTACATATAGGACCTTTAATATAATGAGACACTATAGGCTGTTTCCAATCAGTGAAATCAGTATCAACAAAAACATCTAAAGGAGCATTTAGATTTGAAGTAACCTTGAGATTTTTCAAAATATTTCGAATATTGAAATATGATTTATTTATTATTTTCAACTGTACTTTCCAGTAGATGGGTCCTTGAGCTATTTATTCAACTGATTATTTTATAAATGCTGATTTATTCAGGATCAAAACACCACTGTTTGTTGTTCGGAGACACACAACAGTTCTGTTACGACATTATTTCTCTGAGATCATTCTTTGTGTTTTGGCCTGGTGGACAATAAACCATAATCTTACATTAAAGACATCTCGGAATATCATAGAAATGTGGCATGGGATTTTACCAGTTCATTATTATTGGGTGAAGAAAATCACACAAATTGAGGGTATTAGTTTAATGTGTTCACTCACTGTGTGCTCTCTTTTTCCCGACAGAAAATTCTTCAACTTCTACCTGAGAAAATCAACAGTCGATGGCAGTTTCACAGTATAGGTAAGTGCTGTTCAGAGAGACCATGTTACACTGACGTGGTTCATGCCAAAGGTTTAGCTGTTGAAATTGAAAAATTGCTTACAGTATCACTATTTCTTTGTGCGTAATTATTTATGAGTTGTGTGTAAGAGTTCTGGTGTTAAAGCAGGTTCAGGAGAGAGTCAGTGTAACCTGGTTTAATACTTTCTCAGAGAAAATAATTAGCTACAGAGAGAGTGAGAGCAGGAGGTTAATAAATGAGAAATGCAAATGAGAGGCTTCATTTGAAATGCAAATTACTGAATTAAATTATGCGTCTCGTGGTTTCAGTCTTCCGTACAGGAAGACCCTCAAAGGAGTCAATAACCTCAATTAGAGCCCTTCACGTAGGGACAGACAGACCGAGGGAATTTATTGATCCCCGAGGGAAATTCAAGCAAAAATGAAGGCAACAGTTTCTAGGTTTATCATTTTTGATTTCATTTATACGTATGTGTTGTTATTTTCTTTCACTCGTAACCCTCTGTGTGTTATGAAATATCAAAACATAAGCTAGTTGATTATAAGGGAAGTTGTTGCGCACCGTATCTGATCCACCACTGTGTAACTGAGGAGTCACAACATTACAAACTTTGATTTATAGCAAAAAATGTATGTGAAACTAAGCCAAAAAGACAAAGGTATAAGACTGTGTAACTAACAGCTTCAATGAGGGAAAGGACAACAATCCCATGAAGCTTTGCATACTACATACTCAAATTTAAAATGATAGAGAAATATAAATGAATGATTTAAAAATGATGATCGTGTATATAGGAACATATAGAAATGTATACAATATATTGTGCATCCCTATCTGAAACGCTTATACACTGGTGCCAGTTCATTTGTTATTAATAATACTTTGGCTTGTGTCTGTTAACTATTTTTTTTTTTTTTAAAGCACCTGGTATTAAAATGCGATCTGTATCCAGATAAGTTATCCGGATAATAAGTAGATTCCATTTACACCTGGCCACATAAATGTGTTTTTGCAAAACGGATATAAATCCGATCTTCAAGATTTAATGGATTGCTCGCCACCAAAAGCAACAGATATGAGCTTCATTTTATTGATCATCAGCTAATTTCCAAATCAAAGACATCAATAAGAGAGAGTGGCAACAGCCCTGATAAGATCATTTCGTTTCTTTACTTGAAGATGATTGTTTGTTAAGCGTCTTTGACTTACTTTCACTTTTATTTGCGATGTTTGCACGTTGGCTTGATGAATAGACGCTCAGCTGCTCATCTGCGGTGATGCGTGTCGCAGTAAGCATTTTTAGCATTTTTGGGAGGAGTAAAATATACATATGTGGTTTCAACAACCAGATTGCGTTTACACCTACTAAAGATCCAAACACAATGCGAGCCAGACTACCTCCAGATGTGGTCAGGCAGATCTGATCACAATCCGATCACAACGCATATACACCTTGCATTAAAGGGATAGTTCACTTTGAAATTAATTTTTGATATGTTTTAGCTTACCTCAAGGGCATCCAAGATGTAGGTGTCTTTGTTTCCACAGTAGTTTCAATTTTGACATTTTTCAGTCAAACCGTTGTTGTCTATCAGTCATATAATGCAGGGTTAGGGGGTCCACCAAAAAGCATGCACAGAGAAGTCAAAATTAAACATGATTTAATGACTCGTAAATGTAAGTACACATTGATAGCCTAAGACACGAAACGAGCGGTTTGTGTGAGAAAACGAACAGTATTTATATCGTTTTACCTCTTGTAATCATAGCCATGACAAAATGATCTGACGGCACGGGCGCTTCGGTCTGCGCATGCGCCGGAAGTGATCGCTTGCGTGTCTACGTCTTTGTTTATACAGAGATTTCCGAAGTTTTACCTTTCACAAAACATATTTAGATATACGGGAAACCGCAATGGAAGACGATTTCGGTATATTTAAATATGTTTAGTAAAAGGTAAAACTTCCGAAATCTCAGTGTAAATATTGAGTGACGTCACACACAAGCGATCACTTCCGGCATAACATTGAACTGATTCAGTTCGGTTCAGTTGGACATTGCACAACTGATTCAGATCACTTGGACGTCACTGTGATCACACGAGGTAAAACCGCTCGTTTCGTGTCTTAGGCCATCAATGTGTACTTACATTTACGAGCCATTAAATCATGTTTAATTTTGACTTCTCTGTGCATGGTGGACCCCCTTAGCCTCCAGTGTATGCCTGATAGACAACAACGGTTTGACTGAAAAATGTCAAAATTGAAAATACTGTGGAAACAAAGACACCTATATCTTGGATGCCCTTGAGGTAAGCTAATAGATATCAAAAAATAATTTCAAAGGGATCTATCCCTTTAACATGCGTTTTTTTATTATCCAGATAACTTATCTGGATACAGATTGCATTTTAATACCAGGTGTAAATGGGGTCTAAAAGCTCTAGAGTATTGAGTATTTTTGAGAGCAAAAATAATAGATTGTGATATGTACCATTACTATGATATAATATTACTCATATTGTGATGCATACCATTACCTTTATATAATATTACTCATATTGTGATATATACCATCACCATGATAATATTACTCATATTGTGATATATACCATCACCATGATATAATATTACTCATATTGTGATATACACCATTACCATGATATATTACTTATATTATGATATATACCATTACCATGATATAATATTACTCATATTGTGATATACACCATTACCATGATATAATATTACTCATATTGTATTGTGATATACACCATTACCATGATATAATATTACTCATATTGTATTGTGATATACACCATTACCATGATATAATGTTACTCATATTGTGATAAATACTATTACCATTACAGGCCCTTCTCAAAATATTAGCATATTGTGATAAAGTTCAGTATTTTCCATAATGTAATGATAAAAATTAAACTTTCATATATTTTAGATTCATTGCACACCAACTGAAATATTTCAGGTCTTTTATTGTTTTAATACTGATGATTTTGGCATACAGCTCATGAAAACCCCAAATTCCTATCTCAAAAAATTAGCATATCATGAAAAGGTTCTCTAAACCAGCTATTAACCTAATCATCTGAATCAACTAATTAACTCTAAACACCTGCAAAAGATTCCTGAGGCTTTTATAAACTCCCAGCCTGTTTCATTACTCAAAACCGCAATCATGGGTAAGACTGCCGACCTGACTGCTGTCCAGAAGGCCATCATTGACACCCTCAAGCAAGAGGGTAAGACACAGAAAGACATTTCTGAACAAATAGGTTGTTCCCAGAGTGCTGTAACAAGGCACCTCAGTGGGAAGGAAAAAGTGCGGCAAAAAACGCTGCACAACGTGAAGAGTTGACCAGACCCTGAGGAAGATTGCGGAGAAGGACCGATTCCAGACCTTGGGGGACCTGCGGAAGCAGTGGACTGACTCTGGAGAAGAAACATCCAGAGCCACCGTGCACAGGCGTGTGCAGGAAATGGGCTACAGGTGCCGCATTCCCCAGGTCAAGCCACTTTTGAACCAGAAACAGCGGCAGAAGCGCCTGACCTGGGCTACAGAGAAGCAGCACTGGACTGTTGCATGTCATTCAGAAATCAAGGTGCCAGAGTCTGGAGGAAGACTGGGGAGAAGGAAATGCCAAAATGCCTGAAGTCCAGTGTCAAGTACCCACAGTCAGTGATGGTCTGGGGTGCTGGTGTTGGTCCACTGTGTTTTATCAAGGGCAGGGTCAATGCAGCTAGCTATCAGGAGATTTTGGAGCACTTCAGCACGACCTGGCACCTGCTCACAGTGCCAAAACAACTAGTAAATGGTTTACTGACCATGGTATTACTGTGCACAATTGGCCTGCCAACTCTCCTGACCTGAACCCCATAGAGAATCAGTGGGATATTGTGAAGAGAAAGTTGAGAGACGCAAGTCCCAACACTCGAGATGAGCTTAAGGCCGCTATCGAAGCATCCTGGGCCTCCATAACACCTCAGCAGTGCCACAGGCTGATTGCCTCCATGCCACGCCGCATTGAAGCAGTCATTTCTGCAAAAGGATTCCTGACCAAATATTGAGTGCATAACTGAACATAATTATTTGAAGGTTGACTTTTTTTTTTTTTGTATTATAAACACTTCTTTTATTGGTCCGATGAAATATGCTAATTTTTTGAGATATGAATTTTGGGTTTTCATGAGCTGTATGCCAAAATCATCAGTATTAAAACAATAAAAGACCTGAAATATATCAGTTGGTGTGCAATGAATCAAAAACATATGAAAGTTTAATTTGTATCATTACATTATGGAAAATAATGAATTTTATCACAATATGCTATGTTTTTGAGAAGGACCTGTATGTAATATTACTCATATTGTGATTACCGTTATATAGTATTACTCATATTGTGATATATACTATTACCATGATATAAATTACTCATACTGCACCATGATAGAGGCCTAAGACCTCCATCATGAGAGGGTGTCAGCCTCCAAATTTCTTCATCATAGTCAATATTAATATTTTTCATTGCTTTTGGGGTTGTGCATCATAAGACTACAGATTTCTGCATTGTAATGATCAAGTCTGTTACTGATATGTCTGTTTCTATTATAGGGTCTATACTCAAAAAACTTTTGCACACTGGAAACTCTTTCAAGGTATGTCAATTTATGAATCAGAAGACCTCCAAAATGATTAGAAGAACTCTTCTGCTGCTGATGTGTAACCAGAGGAAACGGTTTATGTCTGTGTGCAGATCCACTGTGACGGCATGCGTCTGTTCCTGCTCTGGCTAGAAGCTCTGCAGAGCAACTGTGCAGAAGAGCAGCTTCTCATTTTCGCCTGCCTGATCCCAGGATTCCCTGCTGTTGCCTCATCCAGAGGACCCTGCACACTGGACACCATCATTTACAACCCCTTTTCCAACCCGCCTGACGGTAACAGACATACACACACATTGACATACAAAACTAATGTTGGACCCACTTTATTTTAAGTGTCTTTAAATATATACGATAACACTTTATTTAACAGTGTTGTGTTCTTGTTGCATATGTTACATGTACTTACCATAGTAATAACAGTAAATTATGCATAATTGCATGCAACTAACCCTCAAACAAATCCTAATCCTACCCTAATCCTATAGTAAGTGAATGTTGTTAATTATTATAACTCAGTACTTAAATGTATAATTGCATTATAGCAATGACACCTTAAAATAAAGTGTAGCCCTAAATACTAACATTTAAATTAATCATTTGATTTTGATATATATATATATATATATATATATGAAGAGTTCAGATGCAAAAGCCTCTAAGTGCCATTTGAAATTCTCTTCTAGAATAATCATTTTTATCAAGCTTGCATATTTAAATGCAGTAATTTCACTTAAATGGCCATTCATAGGTAATCTTCATTGCCATTTAAGTGAAACATTAAGTGTAACATTCTTGAAGAAAATTTCAAATGGCATTTAGAGGCTTTTGCCTCTGAACTCTTCATATATATATATATATATATATATACCTGCATGTAATTACACTGTTGACCATTGACTTACACCTTAAATCCATTCCTGCAAAAAATCCCTAACCCGTATCCCACCTCAATAACAGCCAGTGTTTTTGTTTACACTTTATTTGTCAATTGTACATTGTAATTGGACAAATAAGTACTGTGTAATATTATTACCAACATGTAATTATAGTAAGGGTTTAGTTTAGGGTTAGTTGTTTGTAATCATGCAACATTTATTGTAATTTAAATTGTATATATCAATGACACTAACATAAAGTGTTACCGTGTTTTGCAATACGACATGAACACAACCAATACATTTTACCTAACTTTTTTTTGTTGACATAGGTTCATTGCAGTTAAAGACACCTAATATAAAGTGGGATCTAATGTTTTAATCCTAGTCTAAAATCCACTTTCATCTTAACTGTGATACTGACACGTAGAGCTCTTGTTGTTTTACATGATGTTTAGGTATGGCATAATCTGAAATCAGCAATATCAATAATAATACACTGTTGTGTTGATACAAATAAATAATTCAGAAAATAGACCAGTAATCTCTGATTAGAGGAAAGTATAGACAACATTAGTAAGAACTAAGGCTGTGTTATTCAATGAAAATCCATTCGATTTTGGTTTCCAACTATAATGAAAACAGGATAACCGAGGGGAAATGATTATTGTACCCCTGATAAAGATCAAATTTAATATCCAAATCAGCATGTTAAGTTGTTAAACTGCTATTGTGATATTAAACAGTGTTATTAAAAACGCATGAAGCTGCAAAAAGAGACACTATTCCCCAGACGGCTTTCTGTGTGCAGACGCCAAGTATAAGCAAAGTATATAATGGACTTCAGATACATGAATAAACGGTAAAATAGCCTACACACAAACATGTCGAAATCCCGTAAACATAGTCGGTTATGTCTTACGTTAATGTAAACAGTTGAGAAAGAAAACACATTTGTCAACAGATCCAGTGACTGCAGGAAAACACAACAGATCCAGTGACTGCAGCCCAATGTTACTGCTTCAGTCTGTCATTACTGTTAATCAAATAACAAAAGACAAAGATAAAATCACTCACTGCTCTTGAATAAATAGCTTTTGTAGTTTTAATAAGGATTTGTCTATATTTAATCTAAGCAGTTATTTTACATTTGACTACTTTATTCAATTTCTGTTGTAGGCTTGCTCTTATCTGAATACCACTGCTAGTACATTTTCCTGAAAAACCTAAAGCAATTTCATTTGTATTTTTGATGTATTTGTCGGTTTTGTTAGTTATTAGTTTATTTGTTCTTATTGACTGTTTATTTGTCTAATACAATCTGTTTTTAGGGTCTTGTATTTGGCTATATTAGTCAAACTAGTAATATATTTTTTTTTTTTTTTGCTTAAGTATTGGTAATTGTCAAATTTCACTCATATCTAAAATGACTCATGAAAAAAGAGTTTGATTATATAGCCCACCAATTATCGTGTTAAATAATCGTGTTTTCAATATTGACCAAAATAATTGTGATTATGATTTAAACACTATCAGGTTGTGAAAGTGATTAGTGAGCAGATGATTTTACCTATTCGGTTGATCATATTTAACATTCTTGGGGTGACGAACATGCCAAAGCTTTTTTTTTTCCCCTGATAGCATTGGAAAGAAAACTTAAAATGCTGTGTAGTTTTCGGTAAGACGTCATTTGGAACTGTAATTTTTAGGGCTGGGTATTGACACAGATTTCACAATCGATTCGATTTTGATTCACAAACTTGCAGTTCGATTCGATTTCGATTACGATTCGATTCAATATTGATTATTTTGGATATCAGTTACAATGCTGTAAACTTTGGGAGTCTAGTTGTAGCCTACTAGGCTTCATTAGCCTAATATGAAGGTAATAATTAACTGTTTTGTAGCTATACAAACACTTAAATTACACTTTTATTTATTTTTATAATTTATTTAAGATGATTATATGAAATATAAACATTTAAATGGTGGCTGTCATAAAACCTTGCCAGATTTATTCAAATATGCATTAAATATTGAAGAACATTAAGATTATAATGCATACTGTATGTATGTTGTATATATTTAGCAAAATGCTCCTCTCTAGAGTTATTTTTTCTAGCTGACTAACGAGTTGATGTGGGTTTTCTGAGGTAAATATGACGGTACGTGACATTGATTACAAGCTGTTTAACTCACGTCTTTCCACGGTTGAAACGCTGATTGAGCGAATCAATGTGACATGATACGGATTTCGATAAGTTGTACTCTATCTTTTAACACACTTTCAGATGCTCATTCATGTTTATTTCGCGCTGTAACTGGTATCATTAAGCCGGAAGAGAGATCAGCGCTGCTGCTACAAAGATTATTGCGATTTTTTTTTTTTTGGATGCGCGCAGCCGCAATACAATGTTCCATTCATTCAAATCAAACAGGATGACTAATCGATTTTTGAGATTTAATAATCGATATCGGTTCGTAAAAATGAGAATCGATTGATATCGAGAAATCTATATTTATTACCCAGCCCTAGTATTTTAACTTTTCCAGGGTCTACTTTTAATTCACAATAAAAACAAAATGGTGTTAAAAAGAAAACAAACAAGATGGGCTTTCTTGCCGTCTCGGTCTTAAAAGCTCAGCATATACGGTTTTTGCCACACAGACATGAGAAACATGTTTATAGAAATGTTAAAATTTTCTGACAGCCTGGTATTACTGATGTATTTTATCATATCATGTATTTGTGTTCACTACAGACAAAAAAAAAACAAAAAAAAAAAACATTGTCTTGATGGACCAGAAGTGTTAAAATCCTTGTTTCCGGGTTTTGGCCTACACAAATATTTAATTCCTGCAGCACTCTGTTTCGGATGGCCCATGTAAATCTTCAGTATTGGTAAGGTAGTGGCTGATGGGTATGACAACATAAGGTTTGAATTTCGCAGGACTTTCAGTGTTCATTTCGAGATGCTTGTACTCTTGTACTCCTTTAAGCTCTTGGACAAATCTGCCGAACTCAGCGAAGTAGCTGAAGTAGCCAATAACCCTGATATTTTTTCTGTGCTCACAACTTTGTCCTTCATTCATTTCATCCCTCACCATTTACAGCACATCTACTATGTTTCTGTCTGGGAATGTGATTTTTTTAATGGCAGCCATTAATGCTCTTTGTGGCACAAAGGCACTTTAAATCTAGTATTAGAGCGTAATAATCAAATGGCGACACCGAATCCTCAGAAAAGCAGGTCAGAGTATGTTAAATGCTGAAAGGAATGATTTCCCTTGATGTTTTCTCTCGGAAAAGATTTTATTGATGCCCTTGAACTGGTAATGACCCCATTCATTTCAAAGCGCTGCGAATGTGTTCATATGTATTTGAAATCGGTGAATCCTTTCTGTCTGTGCTGACGTGCTTTATGTCTGAATAGATGTCATTAGTGAAACCCAAGCTATTCACACTGAAGGCTGTTCAGCCCTTTGAAATGACAAAGGCAGTAGTGACAACCTAAAAAACAATCCATGTGATAAAAATAAGCTGGATGCAATCTTGCAAAAAGTCATGAAAGAGTTATGGATTTACAAAAATAATAATTATTAAAATAATTATCTCATTTGTTTTTACTTAAAAGGTGAAGAGTGCAAATTTTTGGGTGTCAACCCTTCGTATAAGTGTAGTTTAGAAATTCAGCTTTTTAAAGGTTCAATATGCAAGATTGTTTCGCCACCAGGGGTCACTAACCTCTTACAATAACAAAGGCGTATATTGATAACGTATATTCGGCGTTAAGCTGAATTATGGATCTTGTCGTCAAGCTGATGGATCTTTTATGGATGAGTGAATAGACTGATGTTTTTAAACTTGATTGTGGTGTGAAGCAGGGCGCGATTGCTAGACATATACCTGCGTCACACGCAATGCGAGTCCCGCGGATATAAAGGAATAAGGACATGTAATTCTACCGTACTACACGCTGAATTACTCACACAGGTCAGTTTATTAGAGGAATTAAACTTGAGGTAACCCAGCCCTGCTTCACTTGCTCTAGCAGTTTCACTATCACACTAAACGGCATTTGTGTGTGTTGAATGTTGTTAGTTACCGGTAGGTTGTTTGTTGGCTGTATGAGACATTAGAGAATAACATACAGATCATATTCTAACTTTTCATCATGTTGAATTATATAACATTGATTAGTTTTTTTTATACATTGATTTGCTCACCTGTTTGCTCAAGTAACATACAACACTCGCGTCTCTGTCAAGTGGAAGTTAGTCGCAGACGTGGAGCTCTCGGCATCTGGAAAGATGTTGATCTTCATTTTAGTCCTCTTTTTGTCTCAAAGTCTGCTTGCCATGGTCCATAATGTTTGAACAATACCCTGCTAGGGATGCTCACGCTATTGAGCACGCATAACAGGCATAACAGACCCAGTTGTCCACGAATGTCGCCATGGTTACTATTGCAGTACGAGGTCAAACCTGGCGGAAACCGGGGGTAACGTGGATATGACGTCATTGACTGGCGACTCCTCACCCCTGCTCACACGCCCCATTTCCTTGGTTAAAAAACGCAATTTTCTCACGATTTACAAATAGTTGGAAACATTTGGGATATTTTAAGTAATCAAACAAAATATATAACATTGGCTTAGTGGTTTTTGGATATTTTACTGCAAAAATCCTGCGTATTGTACCTTTAATGCAACTCTTAACGAGTCCTGAGCAGTCTATCCAAAATGGAGTGTAGCACCCCGTACAGGCGCCGCCTAGCTACGGAAAAAATAATAATCATATTTTTCAAAACTACTGCCTTGATCAACACAAATTTGAAAGCTTAAAGTTTGCTGATAAATAAATTTATAATTATAACATAATGTGTCTAAAACATCATACAACTCAGATATTCATGTTTCAAATGTCATTTGAAAGGTCGCATGGAATAGAATACAACAAGCATAATTGTTTTGGGCTTTTTACTAAACTTAAAGGGTTAGTTCACCCAAAAATAAAAACTAAGTCATTAATTACTCACCCCCATGCTGTTCCAACCCCGTAAGACCTTCGTTCGTCTTCGGAACACAAATAAAGATATTTTTGATTGAATCTGAGAGCTGGATCACTCTTCCATAGACTGCCTAAGGGACTGGCTCTTGACGGCCCATAAAGTCATTAAAGAAAAGGTTTAAATATTCCATGTGCCTACAGCGGCTCAATTATAAGTTTATCAAGCGACGAGACTACTTTTTGTGCGAAAAAAACATACATAACGACTTTATTCCACTATTCCATTACTTCCTTATGGGCGCATGCGCGAGAACTGAGACGAGGACATTCTCATTCGTCTACTTCTTGTTACCGGCTGCTCACCGCTTAGGAGTTTTACCGCCACCTACCGTATAAAATGATGATCCATATATAAGGCGCTCCGGATTATAAGGAACACTGTCGTTTTTTGAGAAGATTAAAGGCTTTTAAGTGCACCTTATAGTGCAGAAAATACGCAAATTGAAAAGCGTATGTACAGCGTGCATCTTCCTCTGCTTGTAAACAGAAAGTTTTGCGCTTCCAGCTATATCAGCACGTCATCTTATACGGTAGGGGGCGGTAAAACTCCTAAGCAGTGAGCAGCCGGTAACAAGAAGTAGACGAAGGAGAACGCCCTCGTCTCAGTTCTCGCGCATGCGCCCATAAGGAAGTAATGGAATAGTGGAATAAAGTCGTTATTTATGTTTTTTTCGCACAAAAAGTAGTCTCGTCGCTTGATACACTTATAATTGAGCCGCTGTAGGCACATGGAATATTTAAACCTTTTCTTTAATGACTTTATGGGCCGTCAAGAGCCAGTCCCTTAGGCAGTCTATGTAGGACTGATCTAGCTCTCAGATTCAATCAAAAATATCTTTATTTGTGTTCCGAAGATGAACGAAGGTCTTACGGGGTTGGAACAGCATGGGGGTAAATAATTAATGACTTAATTTTCATTTTTGGGTGAACTAACCCTTTAAGCGAGTAAGACCCATATGCAAATAATATACAGAAGCGGCATTTATATCACAGTATCAAAAGTCGCAGAGTTGTGAGTCTATACTTTTGTGTATGTCAAAAATGCCTCAGAGCTTCAATGGTTCAAATGCTTTCTGTATCCCAGTTTATTGTGCAGATAAAGTGTGAGCCATTTGTTCATTTAGACTCTCAAAGATAATAGTTAAGCATGCACACCATAACAGACTGTGTGGTGCTGACAAAGCACACTCTGAACTTCTGGCTCTACCGGTGATGTGAATATTCTGTCTCTGCAGGATTACCTGTTGTTAGAGGGGGTAGGAGCATCAGTAGTGTTATTTGCTGAGGTATCGCTTTTTTATATGCATTTTTCTTCTTTTTTTTTCATTCTCAGCTTTCTTTACAGTAGATCATTTCTGAGCATATTGCGCTTTTCGGAAGGAGGGGCTTCAAAGAGACAAGAACTAAACAGACTGGGAAGAGAGGAGCTGTCTCAATGTCAAATATGGGAAAAAATTTGTTTTTATTGAACATCCAAGCATGAAAACCTTTTCTAGTAGAGCCCAAAAACAAAATCAAGACTTTGTAAAAGACAACATCATGGCCTCTTTAAGATTAGGATTTGAAGATTCATCCAAGTCTGTTATATTGTGCAGCTTGTTGAGGGGTGGAGTGTAATTGAACATATGATTTTCATTGATTTGCATTGAAATAGAGCAGTGGTTCTCAAGCAGGGGGCCGCGGCCCATTATGGGGCCGCTGCAAGCTGCCAGAGGGGCTTCAAGATGGCTTAAAATGATTCAAAATAAGCTAAAAATGGGTTGTAAAATAAGGTAAGTAGCTAAAAACTATAAAACTGACATTTGTTTCCTCAACAACTGTAATTTTTATTTAAGAACCAGGATTCTCACGCTCTTGAACCTGGATATATAAGTGCATTTTAATTAAGTGTAATTTAGGGGCCTTTCACACCTACCTTGTGTGGTCCGGAATTTCTGACTTTTCAGTTAGGTCCGAATCAAAATTATAGGTGTGAAACCTCCCCCGGACCACGGTCCGGACCAAACAGATTAAATTTAGTCAGACAAAAAGAGGTAGCCTCAGTCCGGATCAAACTGAAAAAATGTTTGGTTTGTTTCTAGTGTGAAAGCATTTCTGTATGGTTCGGACTTTCAGACCTTTTACAGGAAGTTCTGGTGGTTCCCAAAAAGCTGGAAAAAAAAAAAAAATGGGTAGCACATGGGGAGAGGAGGAGACGAGGTTTTTAATTGAAGTATGATCTGATGACATAATAAGAAGTTGCAGTAAAATGTTCACACGACGAGGACGTTCATTTGGCGAATTTGAACTAGCCTTGTGTATAGTTGGTGCTGCAGGTAGTTGTGCCATAAAAATAACAATATAGTTGCAATGATATGCGTTCGTGTTCGTTCATGTTGTCAAAGTTACCCGCCGAATTGACAACACGCAGACGTCAGACAAACGTCCACTAACTAAACCGATCAATGTCAAGATGCAGCCCACATAGATGATGACGCAATGATGTCAGTGCGTAAAGTTCTTTAGTGTGCTCGCATAATTGCAGTGTGAAACCAAACCAAAACTTTCTGAAAGTAAAATAATTATCAAAACATGAACTTTGATTCGGACGTTCAAGTGTGAAAACGCCCTTATAGACCTGGAAAACTCATGGAAATTATTTAATTCATATTAACTTTTCTAGTTATGTCAAGCTATATAATATTCTGTTCAGTAAAAACTGTTTTAAGTAAATAATATTTGTAAAAAAAAACAACAACAAAAAAGCTCTTTACATTGATCATTCATGTAAATTATTTGGTCATAAATAGTGTATATGCTAAAGAAATAAACTGTACAATGCAAACAAATAAAATGATAACAAAAATGGTGAAATGAGCAGCTTTAAAATCTTTTTGGCTAATAAATTACACAGATGTTTTTAAATAATCATACTCTGTGTTTGTAGCCAAGATTGTGCCGGAGGAGATCACCCCACTGGTGCCTGCGGTTCCGGGAGAGAAGGTGGCAGACGACCACACCTGTTCTGTGCTTCAGATTGTGCTCAAGTTCATGGTTCTCCAGGTGAGATAGAGCTGCTCACTTCAGTGTTTAGTCTGATATCTGCATGTTTCTCATAGCCGTGATGCAATCTAAATCCCTGCTATTTGTTTTCACCCCACAGGCATCCAGCTTGGACTGGAAAAACAAAGAGAACCAGGACACAGGCTTCAGATTTCTCTTTTCCCTGTTCAAGAAGTACTACCTGCCTCATCTCTTCCCTTCTTTCACAAAACACACCAACCTCTACAAGCCACAATTAGGTGCGTTTGAGACACGAAACGTTTCACTGTAAATCTGATTTTAGCAGCTCACATTTTCATTAATTGTTCATCAAGAACTAGCCAATAGATAATATCACATATTATCTCATATTAATAACAATAGTTTTTACACATTCTATCCCTACAAATTTAAAGGGGCTATACGTAGAAATCAGAAACCCTTGTTGTTATCGACACTAGTGGCTATCGAGTGAACTGCAGCCAGTGACTTTTTGCTCTCATGACGCTGGTCATGTGTGTGATGCGTAGGGATGGGAATCGAAAACCGGTTCCACTCGAGAACCGGTTCTAAATTTTACGATCCATCGATATTGTATGCCCTCGACGTTAACGAGTCCTCTTATCGATCCTCCTGCTCTGAGTCAACCAGCATGTTCATGTGGAGCATTCGGAGATTTGTTTTTCCTGAATTATACCTGGGTGTGAAGTGCTAAAATAGGCCTACGTAGGGCTGTAGTCAAGACCACCTTTGTCGAGTCCAAGACAAGTCCAAGACCAGGACTAGTCGAGTCAAAAAAGGTTCGAGTCCGAGTCAAGACCGAGTCCAGGACAGGAAAAAAAAAAGTCTTCAGGGCCTGAATTTCGTTTTTGCCAAACAAAATTATTACATTTATCTTGCCTAAATGTTTGCACTCATTGCATTTTTACAATGGGGTTAATGTTGTTAAGAATTTACACAACACAAGGCTTGATTTAAATTGTTCAGTTAAATTGAAAAAATGTGCACAAATAAATACAATAAAGATACAAATAAAGACAAATAAAGAGAAACGTTTTTGAATAGGTCTAACACTAGTATTCATAGATTGAATAAAATAATCAAATGGAAAATAACTCTGGATAGTATTTTAGTCCTAAATAAATTAAACACATAGGCTATTAATCCTGATCCCTTTAACTTAAAGCTCTGTTTTGTTGTTTATACGACAAAATCAATGACCGACACATGTGGTTGCTGTCACTTTAAGAGCCAGTGCACGGATCCTGTGTTCATTATACTGGCGTGCGTTTTATGCTTATTGAAGACAAATCTGACTATGTTAAGAGTATACTCACAAAGACCGAAATTGACACAGTTTTGAGTGTTAAAGCAATATAGCTAATCCATGAAAAATTACTTTTGTTACTGGGCAGCTGTTCTTGAGGCGGATTTTCTATGAATGTGCGCAAAGTCATCCCAGAGAGCGCGCGAGGACTGACAGTTTAACATTTCTTGAATGTTAAACTGGTAAGACTTAAAAAGACGTGCAAATGGCAAGCTTTATTCACAATGCACTGCTGGCCCGATTGTGCAAGTGAATATTCCGTCATGTCCCAACTCCTGAACGCGAGTGTGTATTATCGCAGCAGCGCTTGATGCATCTGGCAGATAGTTATTAAAACAATGATTTGATTTTATAATCTGCGTGGATTACAGTTGTGGGAATATCCCGCATTATAAATGGGAGACCTGCGGGAATGATTAGAATTGTGTGCAACACCCAGGATTTTTAAGTAACGTTAGCTAGTAACTATAGTAACAGAGAAGACGCGCTCCTTTGTAGTGAGCACTTGATCGGTTAATTTTGGCATTTTCTAAGTTAACGTTACCCTGATAGGCTTGCCTAATAAATGAACACACATTCAAAAGTGTTCGACTCGGTCAAGACCAAAAGCCATATTTGCCAAGACTAGTGGCCGAGACTGAGACAAGTCCGAGACCATAGAAAAACGGTCTCGAGTCCGGACTCGAGTCCAAGACCGGACTCGAGTACTACAGCCCTAGGCCTACGTTGCCTTATCTTCTCTGAAAAGCGTTCTGTACATTCAGCTGACAAACCAAACTTCAAATAAACGGAAAAAAAAAAAAAAAAAAACGATCCAAAAGATGAAATGTTTTCTGTGATGACACAGTTTTGGGATGTCTCAACCACCGGGATAATCACACAACGCGCACACGGCCGATAATGACACATTCAATCAATTCGCGAACTAATGACTCATTTGAACAGATTCGTTTTAGTGAATGTTAAAACAACTGAACTGATCTTCCAACACTGAACTCATGGGACGTTTAATCTGTGTATAATTAATCGTAACACTTTTCAATAAGGTTCCATTTTTATATAAATTATATCAAAAGTACAGTTTGCTTAGTCAAGTGTAAGGTTTAAAACAAATAAAACCAATTGTTTTCCCCCCAAAAAAGCATAGGCCTATGACTACTTTTTCCCACACAGTGCTATCAGGAATCGATAAGAGAATCGTTAAAGAATCGGATCAATAAGCAGAATCGTTAGTGGCATTGATATTGATAAAATCTTATCAATTCCCATCCCTAGTGATGTGTGTGACGTACAACAGAGCAACCCTACGCTGTCACTCTACGTGAACTTAAAGATTGAGCCACTGTAGTCGCTCTATTTTAATGATGTCTTTAATAACTTTTCTGGGCCTGTCAGTTTCAATCCCTTAGAAGCCTATGGAGGAGTGAGACTGCTCTCAGATTTAATCAAAAATATCTTAATTCAGGGCTGCCAACTCTCACGCATTGTTTTTGCGTGCATGATACACACTTTATGGCGTTTAATACGCACGTTTACAGTGCACATCATATGCAAGCAAAAACTTTTTTTGGCAAATAAATGGCACAAGAAATAAAATTCGTGCCATAGACACTCACTTTCATGAGAGCGTGTTGTATGTTCCCACCAGTCCTGAGATCTCGCTGCGCGTTCGTCCATCTGTGCAAGAAGACCCCTTTAAAAATGTGCGATGTTTCAGATCTACGTCAAGAGAGTAGAATGCACCTGCAAACTCTTTTTCTGGTATTATTTCATAATCGAGGATTTCTTATGTGAAATACTGTCTAAAAATCTCATCACGCCCCTAGTCATTTCAGTACTGTCTAACTTTCAAAAAAGTAGTATGCTTTTAAAGAAATATTTTTATAAAAGCGTACACCAAACTTCCAGATATGCTCTGGTTAAGCTGGTTATTATGAGAAGTGTTCACATATTTTCGGTTCATTGTCAGATTGTCTAGGCAGTTTACTGGAAACACTGTTGTTATTCCTTATCTTTAGTTATAATTTCCCCTCTCTGTCTCTCAGATCTTCCCATTCACAGACCAAAGCCCCTCTACATCCAAGTGATGCGCAACAGCGAGAGTACATACTGCACTAGGGATCAGTACCTGGCTCCCCGCGTGGCCTTCATCACGTGGCTTGTGAACTTCTTCCTGGAGAAGAAGTATGTGAACTCGGCCACGAGCAGCTCTAAGAATGGAGGAGAGGTCCTTCCTAAGATTATCCAGGTGGGAGGAAGTTTGATAACCAAAAACCATATGGATTTCCATCATCTACTGTACGCTGCCTCACTGTCTACTGGCTTACGTGGACAGATATCATTCTCACTCAAATGAAATCTCATTTTCCTAAAGTTAACCTTTTTTGGCACCTTCATTATAGATATAATTCAGCCTAAATTCTGTCATCATTTACTCACGCCGTTGATTTAAAAACACAAAAGCAGAATTTTTACGCTGTTCTTTTCCACACCACTTGCTGTCAAGCTGCAAAAATAAAATAAAAAATAAAGTAAAAAAGCACCAGAAACAAATGCCATTAATATTGAATTTGTTTTGAGTGACAAACTATCGAATGCTTAAGAATACAAAACAATTTGACAAAATGTATTATATGACATGCTGTGTTACATAGCTTCACGACCAGGGTTCGGGATTGTTTGATTGCTAGCGACTCCAAATCTGCTGTAGCAAATTAGCTGAAGGGAACTATGAACAATTAATTAAAACTCATAATTAATTATGCGTATTTGTGTCAGGTATTATTATTAACTTGATGTAGCAGAATCAGTACCTCAATCAACTAACATGGTCGTCCAGCGAGCGCTCTGTATTAATCTCTTAATTCTGAAAATAATAATAATTAAAACTGCAAGCAGCATTTAGCGGTGTTCAAGCAGTTCAGGCCTTTAAGCACAAAAGCATCAAAAGGCATAAAGTTTTATGTAGCAAGCATTTAACCACTGAGATCATAGATGGAATAGACCATGTTTTAGCATGATTTACCATGGTAAACCACATTTCAGTGCGATTTTCATTATTTACCATGTTCCAGTATGATTTACCATGATTCTAGCATGATTTACCATAGTTTTGTGCTTGAACACCTAATAAGAATGAGACGTTTTGGACGGTTATAGCGCCATCAAATGTAAAATTTCAACTTTTTTTCCGATAATTATTGATTCGACATACCTTTTTTTTGGCCTCAAATGCAAATCCGCATTTATACATCTTGTCCGTCTTGAGCCAGGGATTACAGTGGTGTAAAAACATTGAAGCTAAGTCAAACGGTCTAGGAGTTATGAGCAATATAGTACTTTTGGTTGCTGTAGCGCCACCTATGGGCCAATCGGGCTCATACTCTGATAGGTTCTCCTCAATTTGAGTCTCTAGGTCTCTAGGCCTTACGGTTTGGGCTGCACGATGCATTTTAGGGGATTTTTTTTTCTTTCTAGCAAATACAATAGGTTTTCAGCACTTCGTGCTTGAACACCTAATAATTATCAGGGGCGAGGGAAATAACATTCTTAATGTACAGTACTATTCAGGGCATGTAGCCAAAATCTGCATGATTAGGGACCATGAACAACTTTACATGACTTTTATTAAGTAGACTAAACACTCAGTTTAATCTGACACACACTTACACACACAGTTGAGTTTAGCAAGGGAAAGAGAGCTGAAGCAGAATACATGAAAGCAAAACGTTCAGATCAACAGCCTTGAACAAACCATCAGATTAGTTCTAACAAAGGGGGAAGGATACTCAGTGTAGTGTAAGTTTGATACTTTCATGTCTCGCACATTTTGTCTTGATGTAATTTGTTGAGGCTCCAGTTGATCTTTGCTGATGTTTTCTTGATGAGAGGGAACCTGTTGGAGTCAGAGGATCTTTAGTCAATAGAAAGACGCAGCCTGGCACAAACTTAGAAGACTTCTAGCTCAGCATCATCTGAGATTTCAGTGATCGACGGTCTTTCGGAAGATTTCGGAAAAGCCCCGTTCACACTACACGCGACTTTGTCGCTGCAGGTCGCCAGTGGCTGCGCTGGAGGGCGTTCCCACTACTGGTTGCCTAGTAATGTTTGTGAGTGACATTCACGGATGTTACTCTATGTTAGACAACTAATACGTTTTCTTGCCGCTACAAACAAACATTTTGTAAGGAAAAGTCTATATATAAATGGAATCAGTACATAAAATGCATAATATTAAAGAAGAACGAGAAACAGTGAGTTCTCTTTGCCATCGCGGCTTTTTAACTGCAGCAAACGTGCAAATACCGGTCTATCTGGGTTCCCGAAACCATTCAGTCACGGGGTCAGTGCGGTGAACACCACTGTATGGACACGGAGATATATCATACATTATAGGACAGTTTCTGACTGCTAAAATGAGCTTCTCGTTAAACTTGCCTCGGTCAGACTCAGCACTGAAGAGTGACGCGCTCCACTGACTTCACTCCTATTGGTTGTCGCTCCCGAAAGTCGCTCTTCATTTGCATAATGTTAAACAGATCTCAACTTTATCGTGTCGCCAGACACGCCCCACCGGTCGCCGTCGCCGGAAATCGCGCGCTCCTCATTGAAATGATGGTATCGTGTCACTTTGTCGCTTGTAGTGTGAACGGGGCTGAAGTGTGTGAGCCAATAAGAAGTTGTTTTTTTAGAGGGAAACTTTACGACCCCTTTGACTTCCATAGTAGTACATATGTATTTTTTTAATACTATGGACGTCAATGGGATCCATCAGTATCTTCTTTTGTGTTCAACAGAAGAAAGAACTTCATACAGGGTTGGAACTACTGAGTAAATGATGACAGAAATTCATGGGTGAATTATCCCAAGTATCTGGTTCTAGAATCCCCGACTCATAACCTTTGTGCAAACTTGTGACAGTAACCAAAAGGGTGACGTGTTGGCCAATTCCTAGTCAATGGTGACAGATTAAATATTTTATTATATTTATTTACTTACATTTAAAGCTACACTGTGTGATTTTTACCCCCATCTAGCGGTGAAAAGGTATATGACCATCCAGTGAAAATTAGTTTCTGTTCCTCTCAATTCCGATTTCGTTTGGCCAATGTAGTCCAAGATTAACATGGCTTCCAGGTCGACCTCGTCCATGAGTGTTAACTCAAACGTAAACGCGAAAGGCGAAGCTTGAGTTAACGGGTATGTCCCTCTTTGGCTAATGTACTTTCAAGATGGAGGGGCAACATGGCGACCGACATTAGAACCCCTTACCCGTATGTATTTTCAATGGCATATTATACACTCACGAGAATACTTTATTACTTGAACCAAGTAAATATACATTAATGAGCACATATATTTTTGAAAGAACTAAGTGTTTTTAGCTAAGAATAAACTAAAAGAGTTTTTTTCCCAATTGAGTTTAAACACTCATGTTTTACACTGATTGTAGGGGATCTCTTAGTAATTCTTAATACTATAATGTGTATCAATAGTTGAATGTGAGCAAGATCTCTGTTGCGTGTGTATTGGTGTTCAGACTGTGACTGCGGGCGGCATCAGTCAGGAGAAGAGCGCAGACACCGAGTCCAACGGTCCTGTGGAGCAGGAGAAGAACCACTCGAACAGCAGCACGCTCTCTGATCGCAGGGGCAGCAACTCCAGTGTGTGTAGCATCGAGGAGGAGCATCGAGGCGTCTACGACATGGTGCAGTCCATCCTGCTCTCCACACGGGACAATGTCAATTTCGTCAACGAGGTCTTCCATCAGGTCAGAGACTGTGTGACACCTTATGTCGGCACGGTTTTAGACGCATTCTTCCACTTGGTTAGAGATACAGTGACCCCAAAAACTATTTAGACACTTGTCTAGGGCTGGGTATCATCCACTGCCTCACAGTACACATGTATCATGTTGTGACATATCACAAAGCATCATATTCATATCATATTCGAATTAAATGTTAACATTTAAATTAGGGCTGCACGTTTTCAAGTTTTTCATTAACCGTTAACCGAGGCCCTTATCGGTTAATACTCGGTTAACCATGTGCGCACTGCAACCTCAAAATACAGAGTTAATTTTTAACACCTTTAATAACTGGTTGGACCCCATTTGAAACGAAATTAATTTATAGAAATAAAACGCAGTGGTAAGTTCAGAGCAGTTAAAGTAGGCGCGTTTCCATCACCCTTCAAACTGAAATTGCCCATTGAAAATACGCACATTGGCAACACGTTCATTTCGCAAAAACTCCGTGTCCTCAAATAATAACAATATTCAACATCATCATTATTGTAACATTTTATTAGGCTGCATATTATGTAGAAGACGCTTTTATCCAAAAATAATCCTGCATATCCAGTGTGTATGCTTAATGTGGAGGCTGCGAGACGCCCATGTGAACACTTGCAGTTTCATTGCAGTTCTTTCAGTGGAAACAACTTAAAATACTCTTTCATTTCTGGTCATACAGAAAATAATAAAACATTATTCGCAAATACATTTATTTGCGTAAACTCACAATAACAAGAAAACGCTGTGCTTTAACAAACAGGCGCGCTTGATGATCTCCGTGAACTGAAGCGCGAGAACTGAAACAGCCACCGCATTCGAATTTGTTCGTTTTAAATTGGACATTTAAAGCTTTTGTAGACTAAAGCTTTAAATGTCCAATTTAAAACGAACAAATTCGAATCGAAAGCCAATATCTTCTGACTATGTAATTATGTAGCCTAACTAATTATGTATTTCTCTCTAAAGGTGCATCCGGGGATGGAGATTTGTTTTTAGCAGAAACTGATTTAGAAAACAATAGTTTATTAATAAACAATTAATGCCTCGTTATTTTATATTATTTTATTATCAGACACATTTATTATATCTTATAAATCACCTATAAATCCCCTTTCTGTAGGCTGTGGTTACGGCTCTTCTCATTCAGCACTGCGGGGAAAATATAATTTCAAGGTTCTAATTTGGCCTCAGAAAACCAGTAAAATCTTCTTTTTTTTTCCATATTCATTTGTCAAATATTTTAAATGTTTAAAGGGGCAAAAAATCAAACAAATATCTGAAAATTCGTCGATATATAGCCTATATATTTTTGCGCAGCATTTGACGTAGTCCTACAGTTAAAATGAACATTTTGGTGTTCACCTGCGTTTTACAAAATACAACAACCGTTCATTTTTCGTTTTGCAATTAGGCCTACGGATTAAATAAGGGGAAACGAATGAACACAAAAGTACACTGACCGGACATATACGAGGCAGAGTTCTTTTTTAAAATTCATAAAAGATACAAGGAATAGCCTACTAGACAAAACCTCAAAGAAATGCCACAATCAAGACCGCGGAGCAGAAATGAGGGAGAAACACAGAAACACTGTGACTTTCCCTGCCATTAATGCTTGGATGACACACCACGTCTCCTTTTATAAATAATAATAATGTCTAGTGCGGTTGCTGTGATATACCAACGTCCGTTGCCATTATTTTTGGAATGGCTTATCGCGAAAGGAAAAAAAAATGTTTTAGTCGCATAACACCGTTAATAGAAACACTGTCATTTCGCAATATTTTTTTATCGACAATCAGACAAAAAAACCTCAAAAGTTTTGTGCAAATATGTATTGACGCCACTTAACCGAGCAAAAAGGTTTCACTCGGGTATGCAATTTTAAACGGTTAATCGGTTAACCGGTTAACCATGGACACCCCTAATTTAAATGTAATTAAAAGTCCAAATTTAATACAAATATATATGACATTTCTAGAGGAAAAACAAAGGCTAGTAACTTTAAAATTTCTCTCAGTAACCACAGGTGAAGTTCATCACATTTGCTATCCAATCACTAAGTCATTTACTGTAGTCTTCATATTATCAATGGCGTTTTATCAATTAAATTTGATGCAATTGTGAAAACTTTACTTTAAGGTGTCTTTGTAACAGTGCAAGTATACATGCGAGTACATGTACTTACTATGGGGGGGTTAGGGTTTGGTTGAGGGTTAGTTGGATGTAATTACACATAAGTTAACCCCATGTAACATATGTACGTAATATAACATGTAACACTGTAAAATAGTGTTCCTTTTTTTTGTTAGTGTAACAACTTTTATGCTTTTTATTATTAAAAAGAAGTGTCCATATTTTCGAGGTACTGTATATAATGAAATTGTTTAATTAATTGTGTAATTAATCACTAATTGTTTATTTGTTCCCCAAACTGTAAAGTAGCCTGTTCAGATGCTCTGTCTTTTGCTGCCACCTTGTGGCCAGAATCTGTTAGTCATCATGTTAAAATGCTTGTTTCAGTAGATTTACTCGATTTATTTGTTTAGTAACATTTTCTTGTGAATGACAATAAATAATTGCTATTCTACTAGAGTCACATGCAAAAGTTTTTTAAGAATTTTAGCCAGAAAGCACATATGTGTTACAGACCAGGGGTTTTCAATGTAAGACAAACAGCATTTAAACAGCTTATTGACTTTCCTGTTTCATTCTTCCTTTTAGTTTGGTCATGAGATTAATTGAGAGCTTTTGTTTTTCACAATAAAAATGTATATAATAATAATAATAAAACTCTGCTCAAAGTTTTATGAAAAAATGTGTGACAATTTTTAATAACTTCAAGAAATATATTTGATTTTCTGTTGTTATTTAATTAAATTAAAAATATATCCTAAAAGCCCATTATTTCATTTTGGAAACATCTATAAATGTACAACATGTTGTGGAGTCCTTGGTATCAAAAAGTTTGAAAGTCCCACAAAGCACGTTACAATTGTGTTTGCATCATTTTTGTGTGTGTCACTGCATAGGCTTTCCTGCTGCCGTCCTGTGAAGCCTCAGCCACTCGCAAGGTGATCAAAGTCTACAGGAAGTGGATTCTTCAGGATAAACCCACATTCATGTCTGAGCCTGAGACGACAAGCCAGGAGGAAGATGGAGAGGAAGAACAGCTGGTCTCCGAGACGGACAATGTGCTTGTGGAGGCACGGTTACACACACACACACACAAGCACACGATATGGTTCATGCTGATGGATAAAGTTGATCGCTCTTACCTGTCCTGTATCAAACCTTCAGGTGCTGGAGCCTCATGGGCACAAGCGATCGTCCAGCTGGGGGCGCACATACTCCTTCAGCAGCGCCATCAGCAGAGGCTGTCTGACTGAAGAACAGAACCAGGACGTCAAGGCTGGGGTCCAGTCCACTCTGCAGGTGCTCACACACACTCTCATGTGTGATTGACTGTTGTGCTTCAGGCAGATGTTAGAGGTGTTGAAAATGCTGTTGCATGTTGTCTGCAGATACCGAATGTACACTACTGGTCAAAAGTTAGGATTATTTATTTTTTATGATTTTGAAAGAAGTCTCTTATGCTCACAAATGCTGCATTTATTGGATCAAAAATACAGCAAAAACAGGAATATTGTGAAATATTATTACAATATAAAAAGTTTTCTACTTGGCAAACTTTTGAAATTTAATTTATTAGTGTGATTAAATGTATATTTTCAGGATCATCACTGCAGTCACATGATCCTTCTGAAATCACTCTAATATGATGATTTGCTGCTCAAGAAACTTTTCTGATTATTATCAGTTGAAAACGGTTGTGCTGCTTCATAATTGTGTAGAAGCCGGGATACACTACCATTCAAAACTTTAGGGTGAGTAAGATTTAGAAAAAAAAAAATAAAGAAATAAAAATAAATACTTTTGTTCAGCAAGGTCACATTCATTTTATCAAGGGTGGAAGTAAATACATTTATAATGTTAGAATTTATTCATATTCATCAGAAATTCTACGCTGTAATATGCTAATAAATTCTATTTACAATAAATACCTTTTTATTCATTAAAGAATCCCAAAAAATCCTGTTTCCACAAAAATTATTTGAGTTTTGAGAACAAATAATAATTTATTATAACTGATCACCAGATCAGCATATTAGAATGATTTCTGAAGGATCATGTGACACTGAAGACTGGAGTAATGATGCTGAGAATAAAGTACATTTTCAAATATTTTCAAATAGAAAAAAGATTATTTAAAATTTTTATAATATTTCACAATATTACTGTTTTGATAGCCTGGGAAAACCCAGAGAACTTTACATTTGCTCTGAAACTTAGTCCGGCAAAGAGCTCATTCAAGCCCATTTCCAATCAGAAATGTTACACGATGACGACAGCGCTGGGATTTTTAAGCACATGTACATTATAAAGATGGATGCCGCCGTCGAACATCACTCTTCGAATGCCGCCGTCGAACATCACACTTCGAATAAGCTATCGCGTCTGTTTTAAGCGATTTGAACGTCTCCTTTTTGTTAAAAAAACGAGCAAAGAACAACACTCGGAGATGTTTCCCTGCCACTCTGCATACGTCATCTCCTTCAACACTCTGATTAGTTTTAAGTCTATCCGAGACGTCCGTTGGTGACGCCCCTCTGGAAATGATTTGTCTATGACGCTTTGTCAGACCATAACTAATTTTTAATCATTTTTAATCAAATAAATACAGCCTTGGTGAGCAGGAGACTTTATTTTTCAAAAACATAAAGACATATTAATTATTCCAAACTTCTGAGCGGTAGTGTTGTTTGAGAGAGTGAATAGTTTGTTGTGTTCTTAGGTGTTCCTGACCAACTCTGCCAACGTGTTCCTGTTGGAGCCATGTCAGGATGTGCCCAAACTGCTGGAGAACCAGTTGGAGGCGTGCCGTGCGGTGCTCAGCGTCTACCGGCACATTATCATGGAGCAGAACATGAACCGCCAGACCTGGTCAGTCTATGTGGAGCGCAGCTCTGGTTTAATATGCATTCAGAAACATTCAGCATGTTGTGTGTGAAAGCGCTTGACTGAGGCTGTGGGCTGTTTCAGGGAGCAGTTGCTGCAGGTGTTGCTGAGGATCACTGAGGCAGTGATGAAGAGACCACAGGAGAACCAAAGAAAAGACTCGTTCGCTCACAGCCTGGCCAGCATCCTCTTCAAAGTGAGTTCGAGGTTAAAGAATAACTTCAGGCGATTTTCAGCCCGCTTTATATCGTTAGTGTCGGTAGCTAATGTAAATTAACAATGTTTACTCGTGTATTCGTGTAAATCCAAATGCATTTACCTGTACAGATATTTTTGCATCATACTGCAGACTTTTGTCTGAAGTACCAGTACTTTGGTATCAAATTGGTATTGAAATGTTAAATATGTGGTGATACCAACATTTCTTCAGTACCGCTTCAAATTTCTTCAATTTTCATTTAGGATTTTCATTTAGGGGGTATGCTTTATAAAAAAAAAATCAAAAATGAAAAGGTTACACTTTAGTTTAGGGTCTAACGCTTACTATTAACTAGTTTCATTACCTGATTGGTTTCATGGTTTTATAATTACTATGCAGGCTGGTTAGGCGGTTGGGGGTTTCCCCGAGAAAATTTTGGATTTCTCTGAACTAAAGATGTGCATTTTAAGATGTTGTGAAGGCAAAAAAAAAAAAAAAAAACAGCTTTAAAACCATGTCAGTGGGCAGCTGATTATTTTTCTCTCCTCATCAGCATCACACTCTTTTTCTCTTTGTTTTTATCTATCCCTGTCTCTTCCCCTCCTAAAGTTGGCTTTTTTAATTTACTAAAGGCTACAATTTGTATATGTACACACACATTCATTATTAATCCTTTGCCTAACATGATAAAAAAGGCTTTGTTCATGTTTCTTGTCCCCTCACAATGACAGTAGCCTAAACTATTACACTACTGTAGGTTACATGTTACATAGGCCTATTTTCAGTTCAAAATGGCGAAATTAGACAAAACTATATTAGTTTGCCTAATATATATATATATTTTTTGTCATTCTTTTAACATTTATGACCAAAAAAAACCTGTCAAATATATACTTACATCTTATCTCGCACTTAACCGTACACTGAAGCGTCGAGTTGCACTGTTAAAATTTGCGCTCAGCATCTGTGAACATAAAGCCTGCCTACTTTGATTTGATTGGTCATCTCAAATATTCTGACATTGACGAGCGGTGACAGACCAATGAGGCTCTAAACACACACACACACAGCCTGTCAGCTGTTTCTGACGTGCTCTCTGCTCGGCGCCGCTGCGGATTGAAGATGTAGAACGCGCTGAATCTGATTATAACAAGAAGTTTGAAGATTGATTTTTCATTAGGATATTTTTGATGCCCCCTCAGCACTTGGTGCCCTACACACAGCGCGCTGGGAGCGGCGGCACTGTATCTGTGTAAGTGCTCTGTGAATAGGTTTCTATTTACGTGTTTTTAAAAGTGTTAATCATTGTAGCCAATCACAGACATATCTGTTGAGCGCTTGAACACAATGACCAATCAGAGGCTTTTAAGTTATTTCACCGTGCACTTTAGAGTTCTGCATGTTTGGAAATCCTTTCATTATTACCAACAATATCGAAACCAGGGGCGGAGCCAGACGATGTAAACATTCGGGGCTTAGCCCAAACCTAGGGGGGTCCAGGAGATTTTTTTCCCATTTACGTCAGCTAAATGCACTATTTTTCAGGCTGTTTGAGATAATAGAATGCCTAAAAAGCTGTTTACTATCTGGGAAAATTATGATAGTTAACCAGTAAAAATACACCCAGTAGAGCCTACAACCTATTTTGTATTTAGCGAAGCAGAGACAGGAGCTCCTCACTATCCGTACTGAAGCTGAGATCGTTCACCAGCTTTGTGGAATTCTATGTGCGTGTGTCCCTTGGCCTTTGGAATTAAAATATCCCCACATCATCACACACCATTCACCATGCCTAGAGATTGGCATGGTTTTACTTTAGTTAGCCTAATAGCTGGTTTGATTTGCATTGAAAGATGATCTTATGGAAAGTACCCCATGCCAATCTCTAGGTGTGGTGGAAGGTGTGTGATGATGTGGGGATATTTTAATTCCAAAGGCCAACGGAACTTTATCAGGATGCATATTATCCTGGATCCATGAAATAACTGGCTTTTAAAAATAAAAATCTGCCTGAGTCTATGGGAATTTATTTTAAGGAAAAACATTTATTTATTTATGATACATTATTCATTCACAAAGAAAATTTGTGTCCTTAAAGGTTGGAGTTTTCCTCATTTTTCTAATTAAGGCATTAAGATCAATATCCAAAAGATGATTTTTTTTATTCCTCTTTTTAGGCAACTTTAGCATGGGTGTCCAAACTTATTCACATCACTGTATAACTAGCATTGTAAGTTACAGTCCCTGCATTGTAAAATATAATTTATACTTGCGAGGCGTGAACATTTAGACTTAGAGAAAAAATATCAAACGTATCTTGTGCTGAAAAGTTAGCTTTTCTTTTAAATCCAACAATATTTAATAAAATAAAAAAAATATCGGCCGATATATCGGAATATCGGATTTTAAAACCTAAAAATATTTGTATAGGTATCGGCCTTCAAAATCCTTTATTGGTCAGGCTCGAATTTTTATATCCCCGCCCACAGACGTTTGGATCGAATGAGAGTTATTTATGCCTGGCTCACACTACAGGAGTTTTAGGCCGATTTATGCCCGATTTTCCCCTTACTAAAATCGGAGAAAAAATCTTGTCGATTACCTTGATAGGTTCCAATGTTCGGCGCAGATTATCTGGTAATGTGGGGCGTCCACAGTTTGAATATTGCACCTACCGATCTGCTCTCACACAAATCGGGCTCGCTCCGATCATATCAAACATGTTTGATATTTAGCGGGATGAGCAAGATTGTGATTAACGTCAGTACTGTCTAGCGATAAGAGCTAGACAGGCTCTCGTGGTGAAGGAATGTCTACTGTTGTAATTTTGAGTGACTCAACAGCGCGATATGCAGTATTATCTTCATCTTCTTTATTATCTTTGCTAAATAAATAAGTGCTGTGCTGTGGTCAGCAGGCACGAAGACGAGTATATAAGTCCAGTAATAAAAATCGAAACTAAGTAGCGCATTGAAGTGGAGTAAACAGAAGATACAATGTCAAAATAAGGGTCCACATAAAATAATAACAGAACATACTCCTGACAGTATGATTTTTATGCCATTATAATATAACAGTTAGTTTTGATCCTCAAATCTCACTTTACTAAACGCTTTCTGCTGATATTTTTATTTTACCACTCGGCATTGCTCGTCTCTCCAGTTACATTGTTACGCCACGAGGTGGCGACAAGGCACTGTCTTTGAGTGAGTCATTAACACGAATACTTTTTGTGCGAAAAAACAAACAAAAATAACGAGTTTATTCGACTATTCCTTTTCTTCCTTGTAGGCCAGAACGAGACTTCCTTAGATTTCCACGACGCATGCGCGAGAATTGCGATCTGAAGTGGTGTAAGCTGGTGTGAGCAGATCGCAATTTCGCGCATGCGTCGTGGAAATCTAAGGAAGTCTCGTTCTGGCCTACAAGGAAGAAAAGGAATAGTCGAATAAACTCGTTATTTTTGTTTGTTTTTTCGCACAAAAAGTATTCGTGTCGCTTGATAAACATATAGTTGAGCCACGGTAGTCACTTGGGATATTTAAACATTTTCTTCATTGACTTTCTGGGCCGTCAAGAGGCAGTCCCTTAGGCAGCCAATGTGGTAGTTATACAGCTCTCAAATTTAATCAAAAATATCTTCATTTGTGTTCCGAAGACGAACGAAGGTCTTACGGGGTTGGTACAGCATGGGGGTGAGTAATTAATGACTTAATTTTCATTTTTGGGTGAACTAACCCTTTAAACTGTTCATTCAACTGAAATGTAAAAAATGCAGATTCAATCAAATATAGATGTAATAAAACAAGCTGTTATTTATTTTAATATTTCATTTTAACTTTGATCTCCACTTTACAAGGCTCAGCAGCATTGCGGTGCATGGGCAACGCGAAACTGATATTCACTTCATTGAGATCAATAGCATTTTTTCATTAAAAGGATGATTAAAAAAAGTTCTCTTTCCTTGGTCACGGCAACCTTTTCACGAATATGACTTGATATGAGGGACAGCTTTTTTGTCTACATCCGCTTTTCTGCTGTGTGAGATCACGTGAGCCACTTCCTCTGGCACAATAATCTTAATAACATTGTGTAGTGTGTGATGCACCGCGATTTTCAAATCTTGTAGTGTGAGCATGTTTAAGATTTGAGGGAAGAAAATCTGCAAAGATTCTCTTTAAGTGTGTTTTAAACATCTCTCTTTAAACATATTATGGCATTACTACGGCATTTAGTTCATCAAAAGAGTCCTGGAAAAAATGTATCAATATAATTTCATAAAATCTCATTATAAAAAAATATTTTCGAAAAGATATGAGTCAGAACAAATGTTTTCAACATTGATAATGATATTGATAACGGAAATGTTTCTTGAGCAGCAACACATTATATTAGAGTGATTTCTGAAGGATCATGTGACACTGAAGACTGGAGTAATGATGCTGGAAAAACAGCTTTGATCACAGGAATATAATCGGCTACTTTTATTTTAAAATATATTAAAATAGGACAGTTTTTTTTTTTTTTTTTTTTTTTAAATGCATTCTTGGTGAGCTTAAGAGAATGTTATCAAAAACGGTTAGAAAATCTGAATGGAAATTGAAAACTTTTGTATGCTAGTGTTCACTCACTATTAGCAAGTACTTCTGATGATCCTGTGTCGTAAAATCTTGACAGAATCGAATTGAACAATGATTTTCAACATCAAGCTAATGTTCTTTAATTCTAAAATTCCTTAAAGATGTCTTCCTATAGGGTGTACCAAATCTGTACATCTGTAAAATCTTTAAAAGCACAAGACGTGTGTGTAAGATTGTTGGAGGTGCTTGTGATGATATAGTTGATGGTGGTTTGGCTGTGACTGTATCTGATATTTGATTCATGTGCTGCTGCTGTCATTTGCAGACGATCTTTGTGGCGTGGGTGCGGGCCAACCTGACGGTGTTTATATCTCGTGAGCTGTGGGACGACCTGCTGGCTGTGCTGTCGTCTCTCAGCCACTGGGAGGAGCTGGTGTTCGAGTGGGCCAGCATCATGGACTCTCTCACTGCGGTGCTGGCCCGTTACGTCTACGGCCTCGAACTCCACAACCTGCCGCTCGACAAACTCTCAGAGCAGAAGAAAAAGAAGCAGCGTGGCAGAGGTGTGTGTGTGTGTGTAAACTACACAGAGTGTATTTGGGCGGGCTGATGGAGCTAAAATGTAGCTTGAGTTTTGTACTCAAACACCTGTTTTACTCACAAATATTAAACGAAAAACATGCATTAATAATGCATTCATTAGGGCAGTGCATTATATAATAGTCTATAAAGGATATCATATTTTTATAATCTTATTCAAAATAAGCAAAACTGCATCTTAGCTTGAGGCTGACTACTGTATAGAAAATATATCATGATTTACACACAAATATTAATCAGCACTACTATGATCAATCATAATAAATGTTTATTGAGCATTAAATCAGCAAATTAGAGTGATTTCCGGAGGATCGTGTGACACTGAAGACTTTTGATCACATGAATAAATTACGCTTTACAATATATTCATATATAGACATATTGATATATCTATATAGATATAAAACATTTTAAATTGTAATAATATTTCACAATATTACTGACATTATTGATCAAAAAAATTTAAACATTTTAAGTATTCCAAACGTTCGGTCATGTATGACATGTTAAAGCATATAACATGCGGTGTCCTGCAGTTTGTATGATTACATTTGTCTTCAAACTTAAGATATAATTTAGTTTAAACGTGCTTTTGTGTTTTTTGCAACTCCTAGTGCAATAGTGTTTTTGTTTTGATTTTGGTTTTTTAACACAATGCTGAATGTCATGCAACAACTGTGTGAGACACATCAGACTTCACTTACACACTTTTATGGTTAAATTGCTTCAATTAAAGGCAAGTTAATCTATAATTATTTTGACCATAATTAATGTACTGTCATGCCGCAAAAATAGACGCGATGGCGCAGTGCGTCAGTGCGTGCACATCACAAGTTTTCACTATATTTGACACTGTATTGTATAAAATATATTGATATTAATGTATTTCCTCTAAAATGCCACTGGCTTTCCTTTTGGTCAATGAACTCAATATTTAAAATGGAATGTCTTTTACTCAGATATCATAAAAAGTGAATTGTGAACACCATTTTTAAGGTAACAAATACAGTTGAATCTGAGTGTGTGTTGGTAAACCCTACGTTATGAGACACGTACAAAATGTCCACAAAAAGATGGCAGTATCCAAAAAAATTCAAAACAGCTTATTAATATAAAACAGCTTTTTTTTAATATAAAAATGCAGAAAGTTTTCTGTTATTGGTAGGTTTAGGGGAGAGTAAATTCAGCATAAAAATAATTGTTTATGGACTGTCCCTATAAAACATGAAACCCCATCGTGTGTGTGTTTCAGGAGTGGTGCAGGACTCCCAGAAGTCAGCAGACACCGGGCGGACCTTCTCTTTGAGCTGGAGGACCTCTGAGGAGCAGAGCGGCACTCAGGAGCCCATGAGGATTCGCAGCGCCACCACCACTGGAGCTCCTGCGGTGGAGAAAGCTCGCAACAACGTCAGGCAAAAAGCTTCAGGTCAGAGCTAGCTTCAGGACTCATGAGCGCAGCTGTCGGCACGGTGGTTCATAACGTCTGTTTGCATAATTTAATGTAGGGTTTTATTCATTTATTTATTTATTCAAATTCTTTTATTGTATCCCAAATTCTGTTTTTGTTTTGTTTTCCATTTTAATGATAAAAAATAATAATAATTGAATCAAAAAGCATATCTAATCTATCATAAAAAACAATTTAACAGCATTTTATTAAACATTTTTAGGGCCTTATGAAATTTATTTATATTATGTGTTATGTCTAAAAATCTTTTTTAATTCTTATAGACTTTGTTTTAATGGTTTAATTAAATTTGAATGATCAATAAGCATGTCAAATCAACATTATAATAGGTTATTAAAGTTTTTTTAAATATATAATAATAGGGCACTAATACATTTTCTGTTGGCTTTATTTTTTATTTTATTTATTTATTTATTTATTTATTTTGTATTACTATCAAAAACTGTGGCAATTAATTAAAGGTATAAAACATTACATTTAATTTCCCAGTAACAATACAGTTTTATCAACCCTTTAAAGTGTAATTAAATTATTATTATAATCATTCATATTTTGGTAAACAAACAGCCCAACAGAGGTTTGCTGTTAAAATTAAAACATGGAAAAAACATCTTGATATTCCTTAAAAAGACCTTTTTTTTTAGTTTTGCTAAAATGTAATTATTATTACTTTGAGAAGTACATTCAACTGGACAATAGTAATATATTTCATTCTGTCCCTAGCTTGATTATTTGTAGATCACAAACATGTGCCGCACATTCACATAAAATCTCAGAGAATATGCTGACATAATTAAACAAATATTTTTTTTTTGCAGTTTAATATTCACACACATATCACAATTTGATGAAGTGTACAGCTTTGCTTTTAATAAATGTATACAAAATGTTCCAAATTGCGTGACATTCTGCGTTATACTGTAAATTACATTTGAAATCATATGTCCCTAAAGATGACATTGGGCAAGGAGCTTCACTGGGACAGAGGGACATGTTACCATGTAAACAACAAGTTCAGCTGAACCCATGTGATCCAAGTCTAGTTGACACACACACAAACATCAACTAGTCACTTCGAACCATGATTAGAGTTCAACTCTCTCTCAAGCTTGAATTTTCAGTTTCTTTGTCTCGTTACATGGACATTTCCCATTGACTGTCTCCTGGTTTGGAGATGATTGTATTTCTTTCTAGTGGAGAGCTTGTTGAGTTTGGAGCAGATGTGTTTGAGACTGAAGGATGCCTCTCACTCACGCCGCCCCCAGAAACATCCTCGATTGTGTGTGCGTGCGCGCACATGAAACGCCGTGGCTTTAAATTCCCTCCTTTTCTTTTGCCTAATTGGATTTCTCCTACATTGTTCTTCAAACGGCCCAGCGTCCTCTCCTGCTCGTAAGGAGAGCCGCCTCATCAAACTGCCTGCCTGTTTTTGATAGTTTCATTAAGAGCGTAATTAATGCTCATTAATATGCATAAATAGGTAACTCAGAGAAAGCGATGTAATCTAGAAAGAAAAGGCAGTAATTAAAGCGCAGCGTAGAGGGAATAATAGAGCCCTCCGCTTTCACGGCTCTTCTCCAGACGTGACATGGAGTGGCCAAAAAACACAATGCTAATATTTTGTCTTATCTGAGCTGGCAGAGAAAACTTGAAATAATGCGCTTCATATTTCCTGCTCGGGGATTGAGTATCAAAGGACGGCACGAGCCGAACGAGAGCGCGGTTAGAAATCCTCAGAGTGTGTCCTCTGTTTGACTTCAGCTTAAAAATACCACTGCGGGTGGGTGAAAATGCTCTTTACACAACATTCAGGCTGTGCTTTGATGTGATCGTGTAACAGAATCTATGTTTTAGGCTGTGTTTTTAATGGCTTGGGAGAACCTCTTGTCCCTGCCTAGTTCATAGACATGACTGATATATTAGTTCTTCAGGCTCTAGGAGAGGAAAGGTGTAGTATTACTGTAACCAATAAGACTTACTGGTCGCTCATGAAGAAAAGTCATTGTGCGATTGTTCTTTTTTCCACTGAGGTAAAAGTTTAATGGATAGTTTATTTACTGTAGTTGTAGACTGTTGAATGTCTGTCATCAAACTGACATTATTATCCACTAGGGGTGTGCAAAGCAGCCGGTATTCGTATCTGTATTTGTATTTGTTCAGGGGGGAAAAGTATTTGTATTTGTATTCGAGTAAAATTCAAAATAGGCATAAAATCTTTAATTTACTTTATAGTGTATGGATTCTTTAATTATATCCATTATAATAATTATGGATATGCAATATTGGTTGATGTTTTTCTATAAATCCAGCAATGAACATGTAACAAGAAAAGTCATTGAAAAGAAAATAGTCAGCCATTACCTCATGAACCATGGTTTAACCAACAACTAATGAAATAAAATTGTGAACATTATGAACCCCAACACCACGGTGGAGGACGCTGAACAGACAGAATAAGTTAGGGATAATGTATAGCGAGGAGGTTGATGAGCCCGACGCGAAGCCCGAAGCCCAAATAAATCAATAATTTGACTCAAAATATGGATGTAAAAAGGAGTTTATTGATTTAAAAAAACGATTGTATCGCTTCCGCTAAAAAAAGAAAAATAGTCCGTTCTGTCTCTACGTTTAGAATCCATGGCAACGCTCTGTTTTTAATGGCAACAGTGTGTTAACAGACCGCATTCTACATTAGAATTCAACCAAGCCATATAAGAAACAAATAATTACTGTTACCGAGCTAACAGAGCTACGTAAACAGAGCGAACATGAGAGCACCCGTCTGCAGACGTCAATAATGGAATATACTCCCGATCAAACTCCGCTTCCCGAAAGTTATAAACTGCCTCCGGAACCTAGTTAAGGTACAAACATCTATTCAACAAAAAATAGTGATGCAGTTAAGTGTTTTTTCGCTCAGCCGAGCCCTCTCTGTTGCTGTGTGGAGCAGCCTGTGTCAGTCACCTCTTCCTGAACGTCACTCACTCAACTCGCGCACTGCGGTCTCGTGAGGAACGCAGCTTTTTGATATAAAGTATTTCTTGTTCCCGAATACAAATATTTTTTTAAGTATTTGTTCGGAATAAGTATTCGTAAAAAAACACATTATTTGTGCCTTTCCAAATACCGTATTCGGATTCGGCTCCACCCCTATTATCCACCTTTTCCACTATCTCGATGAAAAACAGACCAAAGTCCAATGGAGAATAGTATGCAAATATCAGTACGAATTTTCAGATCTAATTTGAGCTTCGGCTGTTTTGAAATATTTGAACCGTATGCGACCGCACGAGTCGACCAGATGTGATGCTTTCTAATCAAATCGATGAGTTAACAGTATAACTTAGTTAACATGTTTATTCATCATGCTAATCTTCACACATGAACACAACTTTAATACATTTTAAAGCCAAAATCCAATTGCTAGAACTAAACAAATCTGAAACATAAGCTACACCACAGTCACATGACTTTAGCGTCACCAGCATTAAGTCAAGTCAAGTCACATTTATTTATATAGTGCTTTTCACAATACAGATTGTATCAAAGCAGCTTCACAGTGATAACATGAAAGTAGTACAACACAGATCAATAAGTAAACATGAAGCTTAATGTATTAATCACCAAGTGGTGAACTGGGGTGGGATTAAATAAGTTTTCTTCTTCCCACTCCCTTTCAGGTAGAATTCGATTTGTTTTGTTTGTTGTTGTTTTTTTGTTTTTTTTGTTTGTTTTTGTTGTTGTTTTTTGTTTGTTTCTTGTTTCTTTTTGCACTGTATGACTTAACAAACATTTTGTCTGCCTTGTACTTTTGTGCCATTACCTGAAATAAATAATAATAATAAAAAAAAAATAATAATATTGTTAAATATTAAATAATAAATAACCCCAACTAAGCAGGCCAAAAGCAAGGTGACAGTGGCAAGGAACCAAAACTCCATCAGATTACACAGCATTACACTCTTTCCCTGAATGTTTGAGTTAGAATAGTTTGCAAGAGCGCGATTATAAACACGATGAGGCTGTGAAAGTGACTAGTGAGTAGATGAGTTTCCCAAAAGCATTCAACTATGGTCACAATCATTAATATCAGCATAGTTGAACGAGTCAGTGTTTCCCAAAACCAGTACCAATGTACATTCGCAAACAGCATTGAAAAGTTTTCTCGACCTCTGGTAAGAAGCAGTTTCTTGTTTGCGTGACTTCATTTTGTTTATTGACTTAAAAACTCCTGACTAAAATGAACAAGTTGAAATTCAACACAATCTATGTTTTTAATTTCAATTATAAACTTTGAGTTTGTTGAGAGATTTAAGCTGCTGTTTTTGAAGAGTGTGATCTAGTACATAAGAGCAAGTCTGTGAATGTGAATCTGGAACTGAGGAAAAATAACTGAGTAAAATGAGAATTTGTCTTCAGATGCCACGTGTGTAATTTATAGCAAAACAATTCCATCTCAAACGGATTAATTAAAAGAAAATATTACTCCAACACGTGTGTGACATCATTAACCAACGTGGTTCAATAAATTTGCAGAGAAATGGTTTTGGTTTCAGATCATGACTTGGTAGTTAATGTTATTTATTGATATATTTATTGATGTAATTATCTGTGTAGTTTATTTCGTAGATTAAAACTTGAGAAATGACGTGGACCCATCTTGACGTGGTTTTTACTTTATTATGTGTGTGATGCGATCTGGGAAAACCCATCACATGGTGAAATTTGACATATTACAGGTTTTGAGACCATATTAAAGCTGGGTTCAAGCCCTTTCCAAATCTGTCTTTGTTTCTTTTATCGTTTGTCTGTAACAAAAGTTATGGTTATCTGAAGTCGGCTGATCGCTATGATTTTCAGAAACTGAATTTTTAGTAAAACAGGTTTAATTAACGGTCATGTATTGTTAGCGGGACAACTGGCACTCTTTATTTATTGCTTTTTTTATATCACATATTTTAGTAATCATCATAGATTAGGTATCATTCGAAAGCTTACAAACTCAAAATTCATCCTGTGAAAACTGTTTTGAAATTGGACTATTGAGAGCCGAGCAAGATCTTTTAAGCGAGCAGCTTCAAACTCTGTTGTTCTCTTGTGCTCCGCATCACTCCGCACGATAACGCTGGATAAAAATAAATAAATAAAAACTTTCGTGCCGTTGTAGTTGCGTGCCGTTTAGGGATCAGGGGTGGAGTTGGGTTGGTTTAGGGTGGGTTTAGAGATCAGGGGGTGGAGTTGGGTAGGTTTAGGGGTGGGTTTAGAGATTAGGGGGTGGAGTTGGGTAGGTTTAGAGGTGGGTTTAGGGGTCAGGGGTGGAACTGGGTAGGTTTTAGGGTGGGTTTAGGGATCAGGGGTGGAGCTGGGTAGGTTTAGGGGTGGGTTTAGGGATCAGGGGTGGAGTTGGGTAGGTTTAGGGGTGGGTTTAGGGATCAGGGGTGGAGCTTGGTAGGTTTAGGGGTGGGTTTAGGCATCAGGGGGTGGAGTTGGGTAGGTTTAGGGGTGGGTTTAGAGATCAGGGGGTGGAGTTGGGTAGGTTTAGGGTGGGTTTAGGGATCAGGGGTGGAGCTGGGTAGGTTTAGGGGTGGGTTTAGGGATCAGGACTGACATTCAATCTATATTTAGACCTTACTGAAAACGTACCAGTGCGACATCCGACGGGTTTTCCCAGATCGCATCGTATATGTTTAACAAAAAACAAAACAAAAAAAAACATTGACTTTAAGACGATGGAATTTCAAGTGCTAAAATGCTACAAAACGACATCAACCCTTCATCAATATAAATACCTTATGTCGCCCTGCCCTTCTTCAGCGCAATGCTTGTTTTCTGTTTTCCATTTTGTTTTTTTCACAGCATATAGGTAAGATCTTGCAGATTTATGAATGAAGCGGTCGTTTTTAAAATCTTCCCGGTCTACTGACATCTATTATGACATCTGCTTCAAATTACAATGATCATGATCACTTTCTTAACTCTACAATTAGCAAATCCACTTCACCAGCAAATTACTCTTCGACAGCGATGCCATAGAAACACCGCCAGAAGTTCTAGGCCCTATGGAAACCAACATTTTTGGGCCTCCTACATTTTCTACAGATAAAATGTAACCCAATAAACATGCCCAGTATACTTTAAAAAAGATACTTAAGACAGTTCATAGTTAAAATGTCTAAAGATGAGTACAAAGCCTTCAAAAACAAGACAAATAGAAATATGTACTTGTTTACATTAGGGAGAACATTTATTATCTCAATTGCTATTGCAAGCACAACAGAACATAATGTAAACATAGTGACATATACTTCAAACTGCTTATTTATATTTATTGGCCTATTTAGTTTTCTTAATAGAGAATATTAGAATATCTATTTTGTAAAGTCTGTATAGCCAATGTTTACTACAGACACATGTTTTATTCAAAATTATATATTTTTTTTTTCTGGGGCATTTTATTCACATTAAGTTTGATACATCAGGTTTGACCGCATTGATCGTAACAGCAGAACTGTGACTTCACAAAACACACGACAAACTGATTTTGTCATTTTTTTTAAGCTTGTAGATTACTTTTTGTTTTGTAAAGTTATCATCATGTGGTGAACACAGTAGATAAGACATGTTTTGAGGCTTTTCTCGCTCAGACTCGCCTCGTTCAGCTGAGACGGGGACGAGGGAACGTGAGTGTGGAGCAGTCGCTGAGTCTGTGTCTAAGAGACACGATAACCCCGGACACAGCGGAGATGTTATTATTGTTGGATGTACATCATAATTCGCTAGCTAGATAAAAGCAGGCCATGTAGCAACAAAAATAAGTAACTAATAAAGTTTTGGAATACAGGAATAGGGCAAGCTCCCCATCTTTTTGAAAAACTGTGTGACACACTGTGGTCTTCCCTTTCCTTCTTTTCTTTCTGTTTTGATGTACTGACTTTTGATGTGACATGCCTGCGTGTGTCACTGTCTGCACTGCATCATAGCAAGTGCAATAGGCAAGAGATGCTACACTAGCGATCGCAGGTGGAATGAACCATTCTGAGGGCGAGGGGTGTGACTGAAACAGTAAATACAGTATTTGTTTTTTTAAATATTAAATCTATGGTCAAAATGGACAAAATACACATTTAGTGCGCGAGGGGCCCTAGCACATTTAATGTATGTATAAAAAAGAGAAAAGAAATAAGAAAAGAAAAAGGTGGTCTGCTCTTCTGGGCTCTTAGAATCGTCCTAAACTTCCACCGCTTCACGGCGCCCTCGCATAGAAATATACAGAGCTACCGGACGTTACTAAAGGACACGTGTTTCTCTCATGCATAAGGTCTATTGGTGTGAGTTTGCTTGTTCAATTGTCCTTTTGTTGGTACATAAAAATGACACACTTCAACTTGAATAAATTGTCTGGCTTTTACCACAGCTATACTGTAGAATGCAATTGATTTGTTTCCCTGTCTCTCTGTCTGTCTCTTTCTCTCCCCTGCGCGCTCTTTCCCTGCTTCTGCGGGCAGCTAAGCGAAGTCAGTCTATCAGCAACTGTGTGCATCTTTGTGAGGCTTTGCCGGCCACTAAGACTGTGCCCATGCTCCTCCACACTGTCAGCTCTTTCTTACCTGGTATCTCTCACAACTCTCACTGCTCTCACAGACTCTCAGGTAACTTCCTTTTTCCTCTCTCACAGAGCTTTCTTTTCCCGGTTTCCATCTCGCTGTCGTTTGCTTTCATTTGAGATTTAGCTTTGTCAGGAAAAGGGCAGATGATTCATTGTTTTCATTGCAGACCGCGCTGAGAGCACTGATGGAAACACTCGTTCACTTCATTCATGCTTTTTTTCACCGATTCAGTCAATGTGTCCATAAGCATGTGGAGCATCTAGTAAGTTTAGTGTGTTTGCAGAAGCATACAAACTGCGTAGACAGCCAGTGAGTTTGAAAACTTTGCAGAGGATACGAAAATCTGCAAATAATATGATGCAACTCTTTTACTTTGTTTCCATCAATGTGCAAATATGAAGAAAAGAAAGTTTTCCATTAGTGCCCTCAGAACTGCCTGTAGCAAACTTCAATTATTACATTTTTCTCGTATTAGTATGAAAACAAATAGAATGGACAATGTGTATAGTTTTCTTCTTGTGAGCTCTGATAAGTGTGGTGATTGTATGAGGTGCAGTGTTGCTGACGGTGTGTCTGTTCTGTCCGCTAGACGTGGAGGAGTGTCAGCTGTCGGAGTGTGAGATGGGGGATGGAGACAGTCCTCTGCCCCGCAGTAGCAGCACCTCTGACATCACACAGCAGATCAACGACACCTTCCCAGGTACTACACACATTTATATACTGACAGGCAGCTGAAGGTAAAAAAAAGAAAGTAGAAAGTACAGAAAGAAAACTCCTTTGCAATGGCTTTGCAAATCTTTATGATATACTACTATTATAATACATATATACAACTGCACTATCAAATATATATGAAGTATAAATATTAGTGCTGTCAAACGATTAATTGCATCCAAATTAAAAGTTTGTGATTACATAATATATGTGGGTGCACTGTGTATATATATATATATATATATATATATATATATATAAATACACACACATGCTTGTATATATTTAAGAAATAATAAATAATAAATATATAATTATATATAAAATATATATATATATATAATGTAGGGCTGTGCAAAAATTAATTGCGATTAATCGCATCCAAAATAAAAGTCTGTGTTTACATAATATATTTGTGTGTGCTGTATATAATTATTTTTTATATATAAATACACACACATGCATGTATATATTTAAGAAAATGTGTTATTCATATATAAAATATTTATATTTATATAATATAGATTATGTATTTAAATATATATACAGAATTTAAACGCAAATAATTCTTAAATATATACATGCATGCATAGGTATTTATATATACAAAATAATTATATACAGCGCACACAAATATATTATGTAAACACAGACTTTTATTTTGGATGCGATTAATCGCAATTAATTTTTGCACAGCCCTAATATAATGTAAATTATATTATACATGAAATGCACAGTATATACATGAAAATATTTCTTGAATATATACAAGCATGTATGTGTATTTATATATATACAAAATAATTCTACACAGTATATATACCCCTCATCAAAGAATAAAAAGACATGACCCTACCCTATTTTCCTCCGGTGGACCTTTCCATAAATACCGAACGGTCCCTTATCGTCATGTTTGTAAATCATTTTTCCCATTGGCGTTCACACATATCGATTTTTAGGGGCATATGCGAGCAAAATGGTCGCACTGTAGAGCCCTGAGTTGCTATAATAAAGTTTAGGCCCAGGGACTTTTTTTTCCCTTTAACCCCTGGCAGTAGTTAAACAACAAGTCTAGGCTACTAGTGAGTCTCCTTGATGAGTCTGCCCGAAAATGTGTTTCAAGATCAGGGCTCCAGACTGCGACCAAATGGTCTCATTTTGCGACCAAAATTTGAGAGTGTGCGACTGAATTTTTAGATCCAGTCGCACATGTGCGAACAGTAAATTTGCCACATAAACGCATGGTAAACGTATGTGGGAAGGAGACGGAGACAAATATCACAACCTGATGTGCGTCTGAGCAATCAGCGATCTATCGACTTGTTAGTCATTACCTAGCAGCGAATGCAAACAAAATGAAAGTGAAACGAAAATACGCCACTCATATATGATTAGGACCATGGAGCAGCAGCAGCGATCCGAACCATTGACCGTAAAATAAAGCCCCGAACTTGCCAGTCGCGGGCCGATCTCGCTCACGCAACACTGTTACTAGGAGAGCCAGTGAAGAAATCCATTGAATTCGCCTCAGAATTAATATCACCACGAGATCCAGTGAGAAACATGATTCGGCACAGAGTTCTGTTATAAACCATATCAGATCAAACAGCGCTGATGTGGAAACCAGGAGGAACACTTATAGAAGGCTTTCAGTCCACAAATCACCTAACAAAACCATGTAGTAAGTTAACTCTAACCATAATGTGTAGAAATAGTAAAATGCTTACAAGTAGCCTACTACACATCTTTTCCCAGCACTTCAATAATATCATATATAAATGTTTTATTTTTTGTATTTTTTATGTGATTACCAACAAATTTTTTGTTCATCCTACAAAGATTGTCCTAAAACTAAAAAATTTAAGATGTTGGAAAACTCTTATTTAAACACTTAAAAAATAATAATAATACCATTGTAAACAGTAGGATGTTTATTTGGCTATTTTCACTCCATATACATATTTTCACTACTTTTATTAATTAATATTAAGACATTATAAATAAGTTAACTTCATCTACACCCTAAATTAAGCTTAGTGATTTTTCAGCCCCAGTGCTACCAGAATTTATTTATTTTTTTGTCCTGTGAACTTAAAATAAAACAGCATATCATACTGTTAAGTCTATTTATTATTAAAGAATTTGTCAGTATTACAGTTATTTTGGGGGAAATTTGAATAATTGCATTGCAAGCTGATTTAAGGTGTGCCCCTAAATTTTCTGCTTGCGCTCCTAAAATTTTCAGTCAGGGGCAACAGCGCTCCTAGTAAAAAAAAAGTTAGTCTGGAGCCCTGGCACTGGCACTGATCTGTAATAGGTCTGTTAGCGCATTAGGCCCAACCCCGTATGGGCGGGTTTGAAAGGGTGGGATCTAGTGCTTGTAGTCTTTACAGAAATCCCCCTCTCTTACACTTCCTCCTTCAATGATGTAAAATGACAAATTTTGCGTCATTGTGGGAGGAAGTGAAAAAGGTAAATAACCGATTTCTCTCGTCTCAGGGGAAAATGAGAGTGTGACCATTCAATAGTATAACTGGGTTTCTAACAATGGAAAGCTTAATGCAAATGGGTGGAGTGTCCCTTTAATGTCTGTCCAGTCGGGTACGGAATTAAATTAGTGTTGCTGCCGGATAATAGGTCGGGTGTTGTGCGGCTGTGGGGCGGGTGCGGATTTACCAAACAGGACCCGTGCAGGACTAATAATAATTAGTACTTAGTAAAAGATGCCATTAAAAAAATTAAAACGTTGGATTGACCAACATGAACTAAGAATTAGTCTCTTTTAGACTGCTTGAAGAAATTTGCTTGAAAATCGAAGGTGGTGTGATGTCTAATATGTGGGACGTCTAAATGAAATGCAGGTCAGAAGAGAGATGAGTCTGCAGAGACGAGCAGAACGTGTGTGTCAGAGAGCAGCTCTACTGGGAAAAGAGAGAGCGACGCTCCCATGGTCAGTAACATTCCTTTGGCATTGATTCATTGAATGATTCTTCACGTGCAAGTTTCATAGAGGTTTTGTGGATATTGTCAGATTCTGATCCGGCGGAGCAGCAGTCCAGCAGATCTGGATTATCCAGGAGAGGGAGCTCCAACATTCCTGAAAAATAAACTGCGGGAGAAAAGTGAGCGTTGTCCCACCATCACTCCTGGCATCTTTCTATTGCTCTTTTTCAAAGATCCTTTCTTTCTTTCCTGCTTGCTTGCTTGTACCTGTATACCTCAAAACACGAACACTAGGGATGCTCATAATTAACCGATTAATCGACAGTATGAATTGTCCGATTAATACTAATTGAAACACAAGTTTTTTTTTAAGATATTTTGCTGCATGGTTCAAATGTAATCTACACATATGAAATGTAGCTTTCGAGAGAAAAGATGCATATAATTTAATATAATATAAGGCTAATTTAGTGACCCTCACTTCTCAATAAATCCTTTTAATTTAACGGTATTCAGAACAGAACAAGGATGGGGGAAAAAAGTAGCTATATATAAACATCAGGCCAAAACGAACTAATTTAAAGCCAAACTGAAACCAAAATGGGTAGGTTTTTTTTTTTTTCTATTTTATTATTAATTTGTGCTCAGAAATTGAGGTGGATACATTTTTATCCAATAAGAAGACGTGCACGAAGAACAATGGAAACACATTTACCGAATAAGTCCCTCAATTCGTAACAAAACATTTTCATTGCACAATATCTCTCTATGGTTTGATCATTCTGAAACACCTGAGCCAAAGTCTGTCCTCAAAATGATCAGGTTTAATTCCCTCCCAGAAGCGTCTCACATGGCTGCATCCCCAAGCAACGCAAGAGAACATGATAGCGTTTAGTGGGTAATTGCAGCAAGTTTATTACCAAAATTTTGCACCGATTTCCCAGGAAGTGATGATTTTGCTCTCTTGAACACGTGGGATGGAAACCTAGCGTTATTCGCTAATGTTTTATGCGATGTTCCAATTTTGTGCACAGCTACTAATGTCTATGGTAGCGATCAAATCCCCTTTTGAAAGTGACTTGATGCTTCAGATAAAGATTGTATCAATTAGATGGTTACACCAGTAGATGGCGATAAGTGACTTTTAAAAATTTATTTGAGTTTCATTCAAAAATGCAGATTCATCCTTTAATAAACAAGGTGGATTCAGTGTCTTTATGAGTCACTGAATCAGTCAGTTAAACCATTTTTTTTTTTAAATAATTCATTCAATTAAATATTTTTAAATCGACTGCAGCAAATAACGTTTTGTCTGAACCCGTAAAAAAGTAAAAGTAAATTATCAAACACTTTGTGATTCTTATTTATCTGGAATCGTGCAGCTCTGATACGATTGAAAAATATCAGGGTCAAGCATTAGTATTGTAAAAAAATATCAAAAGGTGCAACTTTCTATTATAAATAATTGTGAATGCATCGTATGTCAGTGTAACCTCTCTGTTGTCAGGTGAGAGTGTGAGCAGCGAGGCGTCTAACGGCTATCTGAACGACGCGGAGGTGGGTCTGCTGGCGTGGCATGCGGTCGAGGAGGAGCCGGACTCTCCCTCTACTCATGACATGAGTGTCACGGCGGATACAGTGAGCCAGAGGAGTCTCCTGCTCAGCCACACTGAAGCACTGGCAGGTACTGAACACTTCCACTGGAATGACCTGCTATCTGTCAGCCTCTGTGCTTGTGTTGTTCTTAATGTGTGTGTTGTTGTGACCCGTTACTGTGGTGTCAGTATCCGTCATGTGAGCAGGTGATAGCAGCACGGCATATGATGGAAAGAATAGTCCGAGATAAATACGCCAGCGTTTGTGTTGTTCTGTCATTGAGGGTCATTGACAATAATTTCAACGCTCAGCACATACACTGGAAGTCTATGAGGTGATTGTACAGCACCAGAATAGAAGCAAGAACACGTTTAGATTTAAACAAAAGATGTATGTTTCAAATAAATGCTGTTCTCTATGTATTCATCAAAAAAATATTAAGCAGCAAAATTCTTTTGAAAATTGATAATACTGCAATAAGAATGAATGTTTCTTGATCCCCAAATCATGTCAGTAGTGAACTTCAGCCAGCTCCTTGTTTCCTGTCTGCCATTATTGGACAAACTGATTAATCCAGGTGTGTCTGATTATTGGTCGGGCACACCTGAATTAATCAGTTTGTCCAATAATGGCAGATAGGAAACAAGGAGCTGGCTGAAGTTCAGGAAGTAGTGCAGCTTTGCATAAAGCCAATTGAATCATATAGGCTCAGTAATAAAAAAAAAATTAAATGTTTAGTTTTTAAGTGCACACAGTACTGTGCAAATGTCTTAAGCATGTTAGTATAAAAATGCCTTTAACCCAGTTATTTATGTATTTTGCTGTAGTGTTTCATTAGGAAACATTACATTGCCAACTATTCCTTTGCTAATAATTGGAATAAACCAGTGAGTCCAGACAAATCCAGAAGAACTGCAGAAACGTCTCTCTAACGTACTTCTATCGACCGATTGTTTGCCTTGCCCAATATATTTTCCTCATTTAATAGGATCATTATCTTTGTACATATGTGTGTGTGTGTGTATATAAAATATATATATATATATATATATATATATATATATATATATATATACAGTATATATATATATATATATATATATATATACAGTATATATATATATATATATATATATATATATATATATATATATATATACATACACTCACATATATATATGAAGAGTTCAGATGCAAAAGCCTCTAAGTGCCATCTGAAATTTTCTTCTAAAATGATCATTTTTATCAAGCTTGTATATTTAAGTTCAGTGATTTCACTTAAATGGCAGTGAAAATTACCTATTAATTGTTATTTAAGTGAAATTACTGAACTTATATATACAAGTTTGATAAAAATCATCATTAAAGAAGAAAATTTCAAATGGCATTTAGAGGCTTTTGCATCTGAACTCTTCATATATGTATGTATATATATATATATATATATGTGTGTGTGTGTGTGTGTGTGTGTGTGTGTGTATATGTGTGTGTATATGTGTATATAATGAATAACTCAAAACCTAGAAAAATTATAGAAAATACCTAGAAAAGTTTTTACACAATTTTGAGCTCAAATACTAATTACCCTTCATTTTAAGGTGTCTTAGTTACATTGTACTTACTCAAATAAGTACTGAGTGTAATTAATTAACTACATGTTGTTACTGTAGAGTTGGGGTTTGGTTCAGGGTTAGTTAGTAATTATGCATAATTTACTGTTATTACTATAGTAAGTACCTGGAGTAATGTGTTACCATGTCCCCTTAAAATAAAGCGTAACCTAATTATGTTTGCTGAATAATAAAGTTGCAAATTTAGTTTAATCTTCATAGACTTCCATTGTAAGTGCGGTATTGTAAATTAATTTACTTTATTAAAAAAAAACAAAAAAAAACGGAGGTACTGTTTGGAATGATTTCTGTGGTAGTGGACTGACTGTGTGAATAGAGAGATGTATTTAACCCAGAACATTCCTTAAATCAGTGGTCCTCAACCTGGGGCCCGGGGCTCCACTAGGGGGCCTCAGCAGACTTTCAAAGGGCCTAAAGACAACGGTGCTTCACTTCAGACCTCTGAGCTCAAAATTGACAATGTGCAATTGCTCTTTTCATATTTCATTCATTTACTATGGTGTCATTTTTGATCACAAGTGTGACTTGTAAGATCATTTCTTATTATGTCAACAAATTATTTTGTGTTCATATAGTAAGTGCTTAAAAATGTTGTACCATTCCGATGAAGTGAAACATGGAAAATATTTTAGTCTAAAATAACTGAACTTTTAGTTCAGATCTAAAATAAGTGTTTTGGTCTAAGATTACAAGGGTTAAAATTATGTAAAAAACAAAACAAAAACAAAAAAAAAAACGTATTAAAATTAGCTAAAACAACCAAAAATTAAAACTCATTTTTTCTTTTTTTAATTCACCCCCTCGACAACAGTTTTGATCTAGGAAAACCTGAGGAACCTTAATTAAATAAATTTTAGTCCAGGAAAAGTCAGTTAAATTAGTGAATTCCTAAACCTCAATGCATATTTTTATAATGGAAATACGATTTTCTAGTTTATTGGGTCAAAATTGTAAATAGTAAAAATCCTTATTGTTGATTCTTATCCAGTAAATCGACTGTAAAATAACCAGCTCTTAAAACTAAATCTTGAAGTTGAATTTACAGAGAAGTGCCTTTGAATATTGTGGAGAACCTCTGCTTTTGATCATCCTAGCGTCTGCTAGTGGTTATTAGAAAATATTTTCATTATCAGCTGTCTGTGTCTTTAAGTGTTTTGATTTCCCTGTTTGTGTGTAATGTGATTCCACCAACAACCACCACCACCCTGCCATCCATCGTTGTGTTGTGTGTGTAGGGTCTGATTGTGCAGCCCTTCCTCACTGTCCCCCAGTGTCTCCGGCTCTCCTCCTGCCTCATGGCTGCTGTGAGGGCCCTCAGCTCCTGGAGGATGCCATGAATATGCCTCACCATCTGGGTATTGCACTCATCCTCTCAACCTCCTTCATCCTCTGTACTTCACTCTACCTCCATCCCTCAAAGACAATATTTTGCCAAACCCTCGCATAGGTGACTTTTTCCTAAGACAACATCTTCGCCAAAGTGGAAACTCATAATTAGCTGATTTGAGATGATATTCGTGCCAACGAACAATGGTGTTAGCACAACCACGAAAGTGCAGGAAATGCAAAAACCACACGCAGTTATTGGGTGAAATGGTCCATTTGTAATTGGAATGAAATATTTTGAGAATCTGCATGAGGTGTAGGATTTACTTTGAACCAATTTTCACTCATTTTCTTTTTGTAAATTTCACACCAAAAAATTAAGTTACACATTGAATGTAACATTGTACCATAGAAAGAGTTTTTATTTTATTTATTATAATTTCAAGAAATCGTTTTTCTACAGTGTATTTTTATAAATGGCATTTCCCATTTCCATTGCCTTATCCTTAAAAGGTACATGCATTTCTGCCTGACAATTTGTCTAAAACCAGGAATCTTCGAATGCAGCATTATTTTGCTGCTTACCTTTTGGATCAGTCTTTGCTTTTGAGGTGCCTACTTCTTAAAATGCTCTCTAGGTACACTCTAAAAAATGCTGGGTTGTTTTAACCCAATTTTGGGTCAAATATGGACAAACCCGAAATGTTGGGTTAAAAATGTAATGTAAAAATTTAACCCAACGGCTGGGTTAGTCCATATTTGACCCAAAGTTGGGTTAAAACAACCCAGCATTTTTTACAGTGTAGGCAACTCACTAGGGTCTGAAACAAATCTGAAGACAGTCAGTTCGTTTATCAGCATTTCTCTCGTGCAAGGTAGAAAATACACCATAAATACAACATAAATTAATAATCCACAATGTCTAAGGGCCGTTACATAGTCAACGCGAGCTACGCGAGAAAGCAACGCGACTGACGCGAGCGACGCGCTCCCTTTCATAGTGTTAAAGCAGACGCAAGCGTCACGGGCGATGCGTAAAATGCAATACACCGGTCACGCAACAGGGGGTAGTAGATTTTTCACTGCAAACCTGAAAAAGCGGTGAAGCTCGTGAAGGCGTGCGTGGCTCTCCACAACTTTCTGGCATCCACTGAAGTGGAGTGGAGGCAGCACGTTGTGGGGGACCAGAACATGGTCCACGGACCACGGTTTTCGGTCGGCAGCAGCAGACCCTCCCGGAGAGCGGCACTTGTCAGGGAGCAGCTGGCTGATTACTTTTTATCAGATGCTGGCGTGTTTCAATAGGCTACAGTGTGCTACGATTGGGTAGCACTGACAAATAAATTGATAAAAGTTCGATTTGAAGCATGAGTTTTTTATTATTATTTCACACTTTACACATTTTAACTTATTTGGTTTTATGTGAAAACCATTACACATTTTTTATAATTTGGTATTATTTAAATTATGTAAAAACCATTACACATTTTACCTAATTTGGTATTTTAATTCATTAATTCATATCCATAAACCATTAATTCATATAACCAGGCTGGTAAATTTGTCGCGGGCACTTTTCCAGTCCGTTTTCACCTGATTCTGTCTTTCCCATCGCGATTGCAACCTCTCTCCAGGCATTTTCCAACGCAATTTTATTTGAGTGTAGCCTACTAATTGTGATTGTGAATTCTGTCGTATAAATGCGGATGATATAAATGCGGGGATAAGCTCGTATAATTTTTCCTCCTCGCCCGCCATTGTATTCAAACCTTCTTCTTCTGTTAACATGATATATTTGAATTAATGTACAATTCTTGCAATGTCGCCCCCACCGATAACGCATAGTATTGCGCGCATCAGTGCGTCGCGTATCAAAAACTAGGACGACACATTTGGCTACGCATCGACGCATAATGGCGGCCAAAGCGTAGCGATGCATAGCCATGCGGACGCGTATGCGTACCGATGCGTTGACTATGTAACGGCCCTAAGGCAACTCAGATGTTCAGTGTGATCTACTGCATATTACACCGGGGAGGTTTAGCCCGATCCACTCAATCTACCGCAGTATTTTTACGTCTGTTTTTCTTGTTTCCCTTGTCCTTTTTCTTTTTCTTGTTTTCCTCCGTATAGCAATTCACTTTTTAGTGTCCTGAAGATGTAGTAGAAAAACTAATACTTCTAACAGAAGTAAACGGAGGTCTTTCCTCATGTTAAAATAAAGAAGTAGAGACATCTGTTGACGTACACTTATATTAAAGGGATAGTTAAAATTTTAATTAAAAAAGTCGCTCAAACTATAAGACTCTCGTTCATTTTCAGAACATCAATATTGAAAAGTTAGTTTTAATGAAACCTGAGAGGTTTCATTCCACCACAACTTACTTTAACAAAACTTTAACTTTAATCAAAACATAACTTTAATCAAAAAGTTCATTGTGGCATTGTAAAAGTAATACAAATAAATATAAAGATTTAATCCAAAACACATGATGAACCCAATATGCTGATTTCACGCAGCCGCCATTATGAAATCGAAAGCGAGGCTCCGGTGTGAAGAACCCCAAGAAGTACAGATAGACAACAATGTCTTGGACTACCAACCTGAAGCTGTTGCCGCGATTTACACGATTGGATGTTAATATCCAATATAGGATATGTATATAGTTTGTTATTTTTTTTTTATGTTCTGAATATATATTTAAAAAATGTATTAATACATTTATAAATGTCACTGTATATAGTCTAAACTATGAAAGAAATGTATGTACATTTTTAGAATAACAAAATTCTACATTAAACACAACAATACGCCGTCGCATTCACGACTCTCCTATGATTTAAAGCGACACTTCCACTTTTCTTCCCATTTCACAATGACGGCAGCCTGAAATCAGCGTATTAAAAGGAAGAGTGCAAAAAAATTCTTGCAAACCATGTATTTACTTCATCCAAATACACTGTGATAAACCTATAATATAATGATTTATATTTTAGAGTGGTCAGACGCACCTCTGGCTACTGTGTGTGTTATGGTGTGTTAATAGTGCAAAGCTGTAAGGTTGCTGTCACAATGAACACGAACATTTGACCATGGTTCAGCATCAAACCACAACGAAAGCATCATTTATTTGTCCAATTCTGTATCTGTGTTCACTGGTGCCTCGGCCCACATTCATTCTCACCGGGTGGCCGAGCTGAAGGTATCGTCTATTGAAAGTTATGTTTTGGAACCATTAGAGGGCCAAAAGTTATATGTGTAGATTGAATTTAGGCTTTTATTTTCATATAAACATTAATCCACACATACTGTACATCAGATTCAGTTAACAGAAGCCCAAACATGCTTAATATACAAACCAGTTAGGGTTCTCTTGCTTCGAGCAAGTATTATTGAGATACTTTTGACCATATTTATTTTGTGTAATGTATAATGTTGTGTGTGTGTGCGTGTGTGATGAAAGTGTTTATGCGTTAACTTCATAGCCCTCCTCAGTATTTACATCAGTGTTATTGTTCACTCATTCATTTTCGTTCACTCCTTTCTCCCGTTGTGGGCTGAATGACATTCACTATACGGGGAAAAATAAGAGGATGAGGGCAGTTTCAACAGTTTCAAGTCGTATTATTCTTATTAAACTTTTGCATAGATGCATTTAAGTCTTTTCGAGTTAGTGGACAGGCCTCTAGTTAACCCTGTAAAGCATTACTAATGGATTAGTCAGATATTTTTTTTTTAATTTTTTTTTTATAGATGGAATAGTTTATTGAACCTTTAGACAAAATATTTGTTTTTTAATCTAAAAGAACAGTTTGCATATGTGTTTTTTTCTTTTTTCTTTAATGGCTATCATACCATGGTCTGTCTGAATACTTGATTCTGATTGGCTGGAAGGAATGTATTAAAACCGTTTAATCACATTCTAAATTAATGCGCTGTTTGCATTTAAGCACACACACACACACACACGCACACACACACACACACACGTATATGTCACTTGCACACAGAGAAACATTTAGGAGCACAGAAACTTATCAGCGCTGCCCCATGGGATTTATTAACAAATTAGCTCAAATTAGCTACTGAATCGCTACATTATATTACTTGGCGTGATTAAAGATGAAATTCTGATGCTTGTAATGTAAATAAATTAGATCTTATAACTGTAGAACAGACTACTTGCATTAAATGCATATAAATATCAGTTTTCACTCTATATCTGCCAGAAATATGTCTAGGTAAGAATTAAATACTTTTAATAACAATGAAGTTTTGTGCTTCTCAGTGGTCCTGATATTTAAACCCTCAGATTTATGCTATATAAAACATATAAGGGCAAAGCGAATGGCTTGATGCCGAACATCACTGGAACAAATAAGGAAGTTGTTCTCATTGCATCTGTTAGAAAGTGTCATCGCGACGTATAGTTAAGGCCAATTTATACTTCTGTGTAGGGTGCGCGCAGTAGGTACGGCGTAGCATACGGACAGACGCGTCCCATACCGCGTACCCTTCACCGTAGCCTGACGCGCACCTCCTCAAAAATGTAACTATACGTCGCGATGACGCGGACCGCAAGATCTGTGATTGGTCGGCTTGGTAGCATTGCATTTCCTCCTACGCATTTCCGCACGTACCATCTCCTCCGACGTCTTCTCTCGTTTCTACCTTACAGTTTTAGTAATTTCACTAAAGTGAACTGTTTTTCCACCTCAATAAGCTCCAACTCCAACATGATCAGCTCTCTTTCAGTCGCTATGGCTTGTAGTAACCTAGCCGCGAGGAATCTAAACACAGTGGAACATTAACCCTCAGGTGCTCTTCGTTTCGGAGTCACACTTGTTATCTTCCCGGTCAAAAGTGACCGGACACCTAAAAATGAAACTTTCTCCATCCCAGTAAAACCAATGCAATTTATTTTTGTTCTATAATATTTATTCTTTTTAATTTAGTATTTTGGGACAATTTAAATGAATTTATTAATATTTATGCAATATTTATGGTTTATTTTTGCCATAGAAAAATATATATTATTTTCTATATATATATTATTTTCTAGAGTCTAGGCCTTCAGAAAAAAAAATATTTTTTGAAGAAAATTAGCACCATCTGGTTACAGTATAGAGAAAAAGCGTAGAATCATGGTGTAACCACTTGATGGCATGTACAGCTCTCTATTGAGAGGCATGTGAATTCCCCAGCTGTTTATGAACACATTTTTGTTGTTGTTGGTGGTGGATTTGAATATATAGTTGAAACAATCTCAAAAACTATTTCTTATAAAAAAAATGACAAACAAATATTCACATTTTTTTTTTTCTTTTTTTTTTTTTTTTTTACAATTTCCCATTAATTTCCTATGGGGTCATTTTTGACCAAAGACCACAAGTGTGACTATTTTTTTAAGACCACTTAGCATGCTCAGATCATGACCTCAATTTTTTTGTGTGTTCACATACATAATGCCATAAAAGTCACCAAGTTTCGTAATTTTCTGAAGAAGCTGTGATTTTTAAATATTCAAAACAGATTTCTTTAATCACAATTTATTGGTGTTTTTGTGTATAAAAGTGTGTGTGTATGTGTGTGCGTAGGGGTGGGTATGTCTGTTTTGCACTCTTGATGTTTTACAGTGTCACCCCTTCAATGCTGAGCACTTTTTTTCTGCATCGTGGCCGATTTGTAGATTGTACACACAAACATTCTCAAAGTTTTTGTGTTTTTGTCAATTTCCCATTCATTTCCTATGGCCGGTCATTTTTGACCGAAGAGCACAAGTGTGACTATTTTTTTTACGACCACTTAGCATGCTCGGATCATGACCTCAATTTTTTTTGTGTGTTCACATACCCAATGGAATAAAAGTCACCAAGTTTCGTAACATTCCGATGAAGCTGTGATTTTTAAAATTTCAAAACATACATTTTTTTGGTCAGAAATGACCGAAGAGCACCTGAGGGTTAAAACCCTCCGCCGCCAACTAGCGTTTCGGAGCAGTACTGCAGAGCAACCAAGACCTGAACGCAGAAGTATAAATGCTCACGACGGCGTCGCCAACGCCGTACACTATTGCGTACCCTCGACACAGAAGTATAAACTGCCCTTTACATTTTTGAGGAGGTGCACGTCAGGCTACGCGGTATGGGACGTACTGTGCGTACTACTGCGCGCACCCTACACAGAAGTATAAATTGGCCTTAAGTGTCTTGCTCAGGGACACATTGGTGTCTCACAGTGGATTTGAACCCGAGTCTCTCACACCAAAGGCATGTGTCTTATCCACTGCGCCATCACCACCCCTAACCTAATAATATTCATTTTAACATAATTTAAAAAAAAAAAAATGATGTATAGATAATCAAGTTAACCGAAGTTGCTTCAGTCCAGTAAGTGTTCATCAAATATTCATCAAATATAAAGCGTTCATCAAATATTACTTACAATATAGAAGATATTCTTAAGTTAACTGTATACAAATCAGTGCAGATTTCACCTGAAGGGGACCTTTTTAAAACGATACTAAAAGGCTTTTATGAGTGTAAATGCCACTTCTTGTAATGGCCTCTGTGTGTGCGCCTGCTCTTCCTCGCAGACAGCAGCGAGTTTCTGGCCGATGATGTCAGCATCATCGCCGGTGGCAGCTTGACCGGTTGGCACGCAGACTCAGCCTTCGTTCTCTGGAGAAGGATCCTGGGGATTCTCGGTGATGTGAACAGCATCCGCTGTGCCCGTATCCACGCCAAGGTCTTCAGTTACCTCTATGAGCTCTGGCACAAGCTGGCCAAGGTGGGTTCCCTTCAGTCCCCGCAGGGCCTTCTATATCGTTACCTTACAAGATCCTGATGTCGAATTCTCGTTTCAGATCAGAGATAATCTAGGGATCAGAGTGGATACAGACACAGCCATGGCCAGACCCTTGTTCTTCCCTCCTCTGCGCATGCTGGCTTCCTGGCTCTTCAAGGTAACACACGTTCAAAACGGCCCATCGGGAACATTCTCTCAAATTTAGACTACAACAGTTTTGTCCTGTTTCACAAGTGATAATGTTCACGCCTGATAATAACGTGTCTACCACTGATTGGATTTAGTTTGAGGTCAGTCAGTCTTTTTCTTTTTTTAAAAAGAGAGAGAGCGAGATTGAAGATTTCTATTTCAAATAAATGCTGCAAAAAATCCACAAAATGGCTTCCACAAAAATCATTAAAGGCTTAGTTCATTTAATTACTCGCCCTCATGTCGTTCCAAACCCGTTCATCTTCAGAACACAAATGAAGATCTTTTTGATGAAATCTGAGAGCTTTCTGTCTCTCCATTGACTGCTACGCAACTACCACTGTGACGCTTCAAAAAGTTCATAACTAAGTCATGTGAATTGAGCGGTTTAGTCTAAATTTTCTGAAGAGACTCGATCTTTTTATATGAAGGACAGATTCATTTCACATATAAACATTTGTCAACTCACACATCAGTTGTGTTAAACTGAAGGTTCATTCTCGTGTTTCGCATCACGTTTGAGCTTCATATAGTCTACACAAACAAATACGCAGCTTTGGACATTACACAAATGTTAATATAGAAAAATGATTGAAAACGGTTTTATTGGGTATGTGTCTGTGTTAAGATAGAGGAGGAGTATGTTTCGCCGTATGTACTTGCAAATTGTTTTGAATAGGAATGGCATATTGAATAGCGAACGACCTGTAATGTGTGTGTTCAGGCTACCATGCTGCCGTCAGAGTTCAAAGCTGGGAAGCTGCAGGCGTATAAGCTGATCTGTGAGATGATGACCAAACATCAAGACGTCCTGCCCAACAGTGACTTCCTGGTGCACCTCTACCACGTCATGCACAAAGGCTTCACCAGCGACGATCTGGTACGATTGATTATGCATGCATGTATTAAACTTCCTGTGTTGACATTTTGTATTTGTGAATTATGGATTATAACTTCACATAATGATGGGTTGTTAATTATTTCAGTGAGTAAAAATGTTGTGTTTAAGATATGAGAAGGGACCATAGCTGTCAACCCTCCCGTTTTTTCCGGGTTTCTCACGTATTTGTGCTCTTTTCCCGCTGTCTTCCCGTATCTTCAGTATCTTCCCGTAAAATATCCCGTTTTTTACTATGATTGTGTGAGACGTTCGAGCTCGGGCTGATTCGGCTTGAAGTCGTTTATCCTCGGATGCGGCGCCGCGCGCGCTGACCGGAGACACACTGGCTGTGTGGCGTGTCCGTTTTTATTTCGGCTCCCATGTTAACAGATTAGAGCTTGCACACTGCCTGCGTGACACGCGCGTCTCCAGAAAACGCGTGCATGCTAGAAATAGAACTGACGCCTATTTTTTCAAGCGACATGCAAGCGTGTTGAAAGCGTTTCAAGGCAAAAAAATAAATAAAAAATAGGAAACGATGTTTATATGTCATTTTGTACTCGAATAGCCTACATTTTACATTTTGATGTTTGAAAGTCAAGGTTTTTACATAAATTCAGATATCAATGTAATTTAAACAAATAATAATTATAATAATCGATTTATATTGCCATTAGTTTTGCCTATATATAATTTAAGGTCATATAACATATGAATAAAATATCTTTTCTTTTTTTTCCATTTGTTTCTTATACTCTTAACAATGTGATTACACGAAGAAGAAGAAAAAACTTTTGGAAAAAAACGTTCTGGGCCTCAGGAGGATATAAAGATACGATAGGCTACAATAACAACAGTGTGTCTTCTGAGTGACGGTCCACCACCAGGCTAAATATAGGCTCTTTAAAACTACACAAAATGTGTAAATGTAATTGAAATAAACAGACAGCCCACTTCCCTATTTTGTGGGTTTTGGAAGATGTGATAACAGTTGAAATTGTTGTCGCAAAGGCAAGAGCAACACACCGCTAATCCAAATGTAGATTTTTTTTTCTTTAAATGACACTAGTTTCTAGGCTAGTTATTAACTCTTTAGACTTTTAAGGATTAGTGCTTTATTTTTAAAGTTTGTGGGTAAGAATCGTGTAAAAAAAAAAAAATCCCTTATTTTGGGGATGGATTCCGGAATAGCATAAATCATAATTACAACCAATACTTCATCCAATTAGAAAAGTACTTCCACTAATAAAAATGTCAAAAACAAGCAAAGCCTGTTAGACTTTCATTTAAAAAATACATGGTTTTCCATTCTGCTTTTTAAAATGTGAGGGACCAGTTTGTTTGTTTTTTGGCAGCATGCCATCAAATCTTCCAGTAGAACATAAGTATTAAACCCTAAGTAATGCATTTGACCACTAGATGGTGTAACACTCTTGTTTATGATGCAGTAAAGGCTCTCTAAAGCCCCAAAGTCTGTAGAAAATAAAATGCCTGAATCCTAAACATTCGCAAAGAATCATTATTGAATCATCAAAAGAGAGTAAGTCTGATCTGATTGTGACTAATATACACTCAACCTTTTTTTTCATATTATATGCTTTATTTTATTATATTTTTTGTTGATGGTTTGGATCATGCAGTGTAGTGAAATATGCTCAGATGTCCAGTGGTGTGTGTGCTGGCATTTGTGTTTGTTTGATTTGGTCTAGACAAGAAAATAAGAGCTCCGTGAATGTGATGATGCGATGAAAAAGCAGTGGAGATTGTTAAAGTGCAATTGGCCACTATTCTGTAGATAATAGTTTCAATTTGTGTCACAATTTGTGTCACAGTCTCACTCCAGTTCCACACGGGGCAGATGTGAAGCTCAGAGATGATGGGAATGACAGCTTAGAAGTGCATCTCTTTCTGCGGCTGTTTTACCTCTCACTCGATGGAGCTGTTAAAGTTCAGCTTAACGCTAACATCTTATACACCTCTGAAACAACTCTTCAAGTTCACAGCTATACAGTTTCACAGCCACCGGAAAAAACGACTTAAATTGCATTAGATATGAGCTGCAATTCAACCATAGTTCTATGCTACTCAATTATTTTTAGGAGCATTAAAAGTTGAATAGCTGTTAACATATAATATAATAAAGCAATAATAATGTACAATAGCTTGAACTATAGAGTTTCTATAGAGGTGTGGGAGTGTGAACAAATGTACTATGTGAACTTTGGCAAGTTCACAATGTGAAAACACAGGGCTCAAATCATCACAAATGCAACTTGACAAATGTGATTTTCGAATGAGTCAGTGATATACATTCTTCGCAAGTTTGGTGTGAGACCATAAACAACGCATTTAAGAACTTTTGTTAACCCCCTCCAAAACAGTCGCAAATATTCTTTACAAAACATAGTGTGACCGATTTAAATCTAAACACAGATGTCACATGTGCAGTCCAGTCCTGTACAAAACATGTTTTCCTGCTTTACAATGCTACTTTAACGCAACAAATATCATTCATCAAGTCTCAAACTGGTTGAAACCAATGAAATAAGCTGAGTTAGTTTGAGTTAGCAGCAGCAAAATGCGTGTGTTTTCTGTGACTGTTCCACATACTAATCTTCGAGCAACAGCACATTTAAATTTAGTGAGTTTCATGTATATCACATCCTTAGCCACTGCAATATATTATGAGCATGGGCAAGGGCTTCTGTAATTTGGCAACCATTTTTTATTTTTTATTTTTTTAATTCCCTAGTTCAATAGTCCACTTTAGATGTTCTACTTTCTATAAGTTTGAAACTTCATACAGATAGTCTTGTGCTTTGTGTGTATGTATATACTGTATATATATATACTTTTTATATATATATCCTTTATTTAACCAGATGAAAACTCATTGAGATTAAAAATCTCTTTTACAAGAGAGACCTGGCCAAGATGCAGCATAAAAAAAAACAAAAAAAAAAACATAAAAGACAAATTTCACCATATATAAAAACAAGTAAAAACATCAAATACACATACATATATATCACAAAGACCCTGTGCTGAAAAAAAGCAATTAATACAATTTTACGAACAGTTACACTGACCAATGTCCACCTGCTCCCTATTCTTCAGCATTGAAACAAGCTGTCTATAAGAAGTAAAAGTAGTCATTTTTAATGATTTCTGAAGAAGGTTCCAGGCAGAAGGTGCTGCAAACATAAAGGCTTTTTTGCCTAATTCTGTTTTGACACCGGGGACCAACAAGTGTAATAGATCATTTGAACGTAATCCACAATGGCCGTGATTTCTTGTTAAAAGGACACTCAAATAGGTAGGAGCTAGTCCAAGAAGTACGTTATAAATGAAACATAGCCAGTGAGTGTACCTTCTTGCATAAAGAGGGCCTTTTAGCTGTATAATAAAGGATACAGTGATGTGTCCTATAACAACAACCAGTGAAAAATCGTAATGCACAATGATACACAACATCCAGTTTATTCAAACATTGGGCAGAAGCATTCACATACAGTATGAAACCTACATCTGCTCAAAAATAAAGTTCAGATTTGGAATTGTTAAAGGTGGAATACCTAAGATTTTTGCATTAAAATATCCCAAAATCACAAGGCCAGTGTTATATATTTAGTTAAGATGATAACTTACTATATTCCAAATGTTTCAAACAATGTTTAAATCGCGAGAAAATTGAGATTTTAAGCAAAGAAACGGGGCGTGTGAGCAGGGGTGAGCTGGGAGTCGCGAGTCAATCGCGTCATATCCGCTTACCTCAGTTTCCGCTCGTACTACGTGTAGTCCTGGACAAATGCGGTAGTTGTGCGTTAGCGTCTATCAAGCAACAAATGTAAGCTTGTTTCGCGCATTTGTTACGGAATGGAGCACAATTATTCTTTTCATTTATTCTCGGAATGTGAACTATTGGCTGTAAAGGGGGTCACACCGGACGAGAAGCGTCGCGCCACGTTTAGGACAACTCCACAGTAACGTTATCGAACACCGGACGCGCACTTTCTCATCAGTGTAGCCTATGACAGCAATATTGTTATGTTTAATGACAGGAAATGAAGATAATGTCTGTTCTATGTTATGATTGTACTGTACAATTAAATACAATCGTTGCTGAGTCTGCATTCTGAAAACTTTACCTCAGATCATCCGTTAACTGAATGAATTGAGAATCTCACCTGAAAAATCTAATAATAACATCAGCAATTGTCATTCAAGCAGCTGATTTCTGTAAATGAATGCAAAACTAAATGCATATTGAAGCATATAGGGCAAAGTCAGGGTCCATTAGCAACGATTTGAGACAAAAATAATTCAAATTTGATACAAAACTATGTAAATGGCGCTCTGTGGCGCAGCAGGATTTTGAACACGGTCCTGAGGCGTTGCTGGGCGCCGCCGGTATGTGTACACTTATAGACAATGTGTTCGAATTTTAAATATGTGGTGCGACGCGGCGCTGAGCTTCTCGCCCGGTGTGCAACCCCCATAACGTTAATTTTGTGAAACTGTAGCTGTGGCTGAATACATACACGACATGAAAAGATGTGTCAAATGTACATGATTTTTTGTTTTTATAAAGTTACCAAAAAGGAGGACCAGCCACGTCAACTCCTTGCAAGAGACCTGCCCCTTCAAACCCTCTCCACCATAGCTTCGTCCAGTGACTCGTAACATCTGTGATAACTAATTTACTTTTAAACCTGACTTCTCTTGCGGTTTTCAGTTTAAGGAAAAACAAGCATGTCATTAAACGAAACATTTATAGAAATCGAACTTTACCTCATCCATGGCAACTAATTTTCGATTCCCGTCTGACTGATTTATCCACGGTGGAGTTGAAAACAACAGTTCCCATCATTCCGCGTTCCTCCACGTCGTCATCAAGCAAAGCCGTTGTTGTTGCTTTGAATGTAGCGCCCTCTAGTGGCATCTAAATCTTAGGTATTGTATCTTTAAAGTTGCCTGTAAATGGAAATTGCGACCAACTT